ACAACATAGGGCGAGTTTATTTATCTACTAGGGTAAGTAGTGGAGTAACTCGAGTGAAAATTAAACGCATAGAGTATGCACTCGAGTGACGTCATCGACTTACTCTCTTCAACCCACCACTGGACCACGATTCCTCGAGTTCCAAGATGGCGTCTGAAGAAGAAAACATGCAAGATGCAGTTGTTAAAATCTACACAGTATGTTAATATCTTTGCAGATTATCGATTTTACTCGATAAAAAACAAATACGTGTGATGTGGCATATTTATTATTTTTAACTTCATCATGCAAGAGAAATGTACGTACCTGATCACGTACTTAAATTATTTAAATGAGGCAAAAATTTCTGACGAGTTGCCAACAACTGAACCGATAGAAGATTTTCTAAATACTGCTATTGAAACATATGAGGCAAGCAGTCCGAAGAACTTTGTTTCGGCCTCTCTCCACAGTTTATTTGATAAAGAAATTAATATATGCACTGTAGATTTAATTTGGTTAGACAATATAGATCTACTTATTATGCATAGCTATAATTAGTCTGTAGTTAGACTGATAACTTACGTAACAGAGATTATTTAATGTAGCATTTACAACTGTCTTGGTTACGTTAAAAACTGAAGCCTTGCATACACCAAAATAGTGACCAATTTCGCGATGTGACTCCATATATGCCATATAGCATAAACATATAAGAAGTTTTTTGTCTGGTGAAATGGGCACTTTCCCTCTCTCAATATCTGGTACGAGATCGTTTTTTACAACATCTAATATTTGTTCGAATGTTTGTGCGCTGATCCTAAAATGAGATTGAAAGTCAACAGGAGCAAATATTGTAATAACTGTTTCTGCGTATATATATAGCATGTAATCCGTGAAACATGGGGTCTAAGGAGCAATGATGCAATGGTAATAGCTAAATTATTCATTTGCGTGTGTCTAGCCATTGCTAGATTGTCTAGGCCCTTCATATTCCATATGAACATGAAACATTGCATGTTGTTGTCAACTTCGTCCTCCATGTTGAGAGTTACTCTAGTATCGAGTTTTCCGTTCACGTAAAACATTGCGCGCGCACAGGCGCTAGAATAACCAGAGTAAGTGTAGAGTAGATAAATAAACTCGCCCATGATGACACGAGGTCCAACAATAATGTGCACAGGTAAATTAAATAAAAACTTGATAAAAATCGTTTTTTCATGATCCTAGCTAAAAAATGTAATTATAAGTATTAAATGCTTCTTTTTGTAACTTCATAGGGTTGTAAAAGCGTTGACCGTGCGCACATTTTTAGAATGAAGCGCTTCCGCGCATTTATCAAAAACTTAATATATCCGACGAAGCATCTTTATAAATAAAACACAAAAGGGGGCAGCATCTTATAAATAAAACACAAAAGAATCTAATTATTTGACATTGTTCAAATTGGTCATTCTATAGTTTGTTTTATTTACAAATACATATTGAGTATGACAGATATGAAAACAGTATGTATCTTTGAAACGTAGTCAAATTTACAAATTAAATGAGATGGTTGTGTAAAGCTGATTAGATTGTCTTTAGCAGCCTAATCTAATTGTCTGAAAGATTAGACGGAGACAACAAAGGGATTTGTATGCAAGGAAAACAATACACCCCTAGACACGGATAGTACGACCGCATTTTTATACCAAGTAGAAGGAAAATGTAGACCACTACTATGTTCATATTATCAAGATAATGCTGAACTTACATTTAAGAATGCTTCCGCGCTTCATACAAAATGTACTTCGGTCAACGCTTTTACACCCAATGAAGTTACAAAAAGAAGCATTCAATTCTTAAATGAAATGACTTTCCAAGGCATAAACTTATGACTCTTTTTTGTGTGTTATCTATAAGATGCTGCCCCCTTTTGTGTTTTATTTATAAGATGCTGCCCCATTTTAGCTCTGGTAATTATTAAATTATTCATTTGTTGTTTACAGCAACGGGATAAGTGTACACCCGAAGGGGAGATACAAAATGGGGACCAACCGCTCGGTTGATATACGCAGTTATTTTATATCTACTTGTTGTACTCAACTCCAAATGAAACGTAAAAGATAAAGTTAGTCTGTAAATATAATAGTTTGCTTTAAAAAAAACAATATCCTCAGTAAAAACAAATTTAACCCTGCTACTATATGTGCGTGTTCAAGGATTTATATATTATCTTTAATACTATATAAATCATTGGCCTGTTCGAAAAAAAGTTAAAAGAAAGAGCCTCAACCTGATGAGTCAAGTCGTAACGTCATATTATAGTCCAGGAAATTCCATCACATAATCTCTCAACTCACTATAATCAAATAAAATAGACTACTCAGTGCAACCTTTTTAATCATTATTATGTTTTTAGATTGATAAAAGAGGATAATATCTTTTAAGGTACCGGAATTACAATTTTGTATTGACAGGCATAATGGCTGGTGGAAAGCAAGATGAACAAGGGTCTGGAAAAATGACGATCTGTGTATGCCGACTAGTCCTTCTTATACAGGTGATGAATTAGGGTCCGCAGAAACAGAGAGGGGACACATTTACGGTAGCCAGTTTGGGATATCGGTTCTTATAGGGTCTTCTCCCTTTGATGATAATAAATCTGGATACATTGTTGACCGTGTCGTTTGGTTTGCCAGGTATTATCAAATTCTGCGCTTTACATTGCAGCAGGACAAGAAACATGGCCAGATGGTTACACTGCTGAATATAGTGGTTACCTGATGTCTGAAAGATTAGACAGAGACAACAAAGGGATTTGTATTCAAGGAAAACAATACACCCCTAGACACGGATAGTACGACCGCATTTGTATACCAAGTAGAAGAAAATGTAGACCACTACTATGTCCATATTATCAAGATAATGCTGAACTTACATTTATAGTTTGTTCTAAGTAATTTGCACGTACTTTTGGGCTGCTACAGACAATCTAATCAGCTTTACACAACCATCTCATTTAATTTGTAAATTTGACTACGTTTCAAAGATACATACTGTTTTCATATCTGTCATACTCAATATGTATTTGTAAATAAAACAAACTATAGAATGAAGTTTAAAATACTTACGGTAACAACATAAAGCATTACTTGAATAAACTACATTGTCAATATAAATTACGTTAAACGTGTTTTCCCTCCCCAAGCATGTTGTACATGACTCCAAACCAAGACAATATATTTGACATTGTTCAAATTGGTCAAGGCCATGGAAAGTGTTAGCTGCAGTTGGATCGATGACATAAAAATAATGGAATGTACATAATGAGGGTCAAATGTTATGTCCTTTAGGGTCCTCTTCTTCTTCTTATTTCTTCTTCTTCTTCACACAGGCGAATTACGCAAATGGAATGAATTTAATAGATTCCCACTTAAAAAATCTAGCACACTTTTTTTATTTTGACTGCCTTAACCTTTTACATTGTAAAAGCCTTCCATTAGGTGACATCACCAATAAGTTGATGTGTTCATGCAGACGTTGTATTGATTCGAAAGCTGCATAGATTTTTGACATTATCACGTGACTGTTGTGTATTAAATGAAATCGAACACAGAAAACGGACTATCTCGGAACTAAAGTATTTTAGCAATTGACTATGTGAAATTACAATGTTCCAGTGGGATATGAGGGTCTTTTTTGTATAAACTAATATTTGTTTTCATTGTCATATAATTTTATGCTCCCTACGATTCATATTTTACGAGTAAACACAGAAGATTCATGTGTTGAAATATTGAGCATTTGTTGAGTAAGATAAACAAAAATACGATCATATCTTCTCAGCGGTGTCTACAGCACGTCACAGAATTAAATGTGACTCGTCTTCCTTACTTAAGGGTGCACAGAAATAAACAACAACCAATACTGCTTGGAGCTACAGAAAGACATAGACACCTTATATACATGGGCTGAAACTTAAGGAGTGCGTTTTCAACCTGTAAAATGTAATATGATGATCCTAACTCGCAAAAAGAGGACCACGAAATTTAAGTACACATGGAAAGGTATATAACTGGAATTTTTAAAATCAATAAAATACCTTGGAGTGAGCAACAGTAGCGATTTACATTGGGGAAAACACATCGAGTTTATATGCAACAAACATTATAGAACATTTTGGTTGTTAAAACGAAATATGTCATCATGACCTATAGGAGCACAGTATGGGACCCACATAAAATATATTTACAAGACAAACTTGAAAACGTCCAGAAAAGAGCAGCGAGATTCATAACATCTAACTACAGTTATAAACCGGGTAGCATAACTTCAATTTTAAACCAAATTAAACTAGAACCGCTGAAAGATAGGCGAAGACAAAACAGACTGATTTTGTTTTGCAAAGGCATACACCATTCAGCCGAACTACCAATAGAAAATCTTCAAAGATCACAAAGAACAACAAAGAACATGTATAGTCAACATTTTCTCAGAATTCCAACCAAGACGGACACTTTGAAGTTCAGCATTATTCCATGCGCATGTGTAAGTAGTCCCTTTATAGTTTAAAAAGAATTAAGGTAAATGGATTTTTTATGATAACTATCAAAATTTTTTAATCTAGTAGTATTTAGAGGGTGTTATTGCTATATGCAAGATATTTAATTGACAAGCAACGGAACTAATAAAATCATAGTTATAGATAACCCAAGCGCTCCGTGCACTTTAGACAAAAAAGTTTACAAGGCAAAGATAGGATGTTGTTTTGGAGAAACTTTACCCGAATTGTACCCCTACTAATACGGTCACCCAGTCCGCTCACTAGGCGGGAGAATCGGAAACGGTAATGTAAGGGCTTGAAATATTATTATTCACGCCATTTGTGGAAATAGAAACAAATTTATATCTAACTAAGGAGATTTGGTATGATTGCTAATGAGACAAATATTATTTAAGACCATGAGACAATGAAGTAAATGTTTATTCACAAAAACAACCATTATGTTAAAAAGTTTAAATGTTACAGTATTTTGTTCTAACAATATCCTATTAACGACCGTTTACAAAATGAGTCGAAGATGACTAGTTGTAAGGACTGGTTGTCTGCCCTGATGACAGTTCAACTGCAGTTCACTTTTCCTGAGTACTTGTTTTAACGGTCTTATCCACAACAGGGTCCATGAAATCTTTACCAGAGAAATCGGTGTAATTTTTGCAGTCTTTAATTGCGGAATTTGGAACCTATTAAATACAAAAGAACTGCATTTACATGTATAAGAAAGAGTAAACAAGCACGAACGTATATCTTATATTAACTTTTTTAATATTCATTTTTAGGGGGGGTTCTTTATGTTTAACCGGAATAATTGAGTTATTACATTTCTCTTAATACGACCACTCCCAAGAGATTATAGAATGAATGAAAATAATAAAGTTTCCTTTCTTTTCTCAGAGGAACATTTTTAATATGGATTCTTTTCTCCATTGACAAGATGATGTCGTCATTTCTGATTGAGTCAGTCGCAGTACTGCAGATGCTTATTGTGACAGATGCATGTCTCATAATAGATTATGCCCTATGGCAAGGAAACAAAATACGCTAAAAACATTTTTTTATGTTAAATATCCATGACTGTTATGTGCAGTCAAATACACAGTTCACATGTTGTATGTTGTATGTTGAATGACCCGCCATATTGAATCCATGAAAATCAGCTTATTTTATTAAATTTGTCTAATGTTTCAAATATATATAAAAAAAACAACTGACCTCAAAAATACAGTTTATAAGATGCATGATATTGATGATGATGGATGTCTGCTTAACGTCCAGTGGCAAATTAAATGCTCTTACTCCTTAATGGTATTTCTTCTAAATGCCGCGTGCTTAGCGGTGAAGCAGCAAATGCAAATTTTGAAGTCTTTAGTTCGACCGGGATTTGAACCTACGACCTCCCGCACTCGAGACGAACACGCTACCATTAGACTACAGAGGAGGTTTAGTTTATATGAGATTCATGGCGTGAATATAACCAAATAATGTTCAGTATGAAAGGTTCTATCCATACGACGAAATAATTTGCCAAAACATTTAAATGCGAAAATCTATTATAAAAAAAAACAGTCAGAAATACTTCGGTATCGATGTGCAATAAATTCATTATAACCGGTAAAGACGTAGCTTATTTTTAGATATGTGTTATGGTAAGCTCTAACATATTCAAACAAAATAATGATAATTCGTCTGCATAAACACTAAACAAACCTTTTCTAAAGGTGTATAGTTTGGATGGTGGTGTTTGTAGACTGGATTATTAGACTTGAGACAGTAAGAATACAATAGTGCCCAGCGTCGATTAGGACTGTTATTTGGTCCACTTGTATGAATTAAGTTTGCATCAAATATCAAGGCATCGCCTGTCATAACAAAAGTATAAAAAGTTTAAGTACATTAAGGTAAAGATAAATACTAGTATTACATTTCATTACCAAAAAAAAATAAATAAGCTAATATTGGTGCCTGCCAGATTCAACTTGTTCACACATTCAGATCAATGTGCACCAATAATGAGTTAATACAGAGAAAATACCAGGGAGGAAATTAATGGCAATAAGTCACAAAGGCCAAAAAGAAAACGTCAAAAAGGCAAACAAAAGTGAAAAATGATTTCAATGTCGTATTCTAAGTCTTTTTTTTCATTTTTAAGCGCCGTGTATAAAGATAACACCGCCAGTAGTTGATGTATTTGCACACAGTGTACATACATGTAAAATATACACCAAACCTTGACTTTTTGTAAGATTTTTGGAAATTGTGGTCTAACATATGCGTTTTATGTGTTTTTGCATATTTTTGGGGGATTTTGGATTTCATTATAGATATTTAAAATTAAATGCTGTAGACTTCAAAAACATTTTCAAAACAGCATGATACTTGGTTTGTGATTATCTAAATGGATTTTACATAATTAATTGTATACTTTTACACTGCTTGTTCTATCATTACTATATACTATTTTCCCATTTTCTGCATGAATATCAAAGGAATTATAACAGTTAGTGTTTTTAAAACGACATATAACCTTCAAAACACAAATATTCAAGTACAATTTACTTTAATACCTATTCAAGTGCAATTCTCGTATAAAATGTTCAAAATGAAATATTCCTGAAAATCGACTGCTATTGCTCAACGTTGTCATCAATGACTCCGACTGTCTTCATCCAATGTATGTACAAGTCTTTAAAGAACAGAAATGACAAGTCAAGTGCACCCAAACAGAGACCATGTCTAGAAAATTTCGCCATTTTGTATGCAAACTTCCACCGTGGATAGGCGAAAAGAACAACCCGCTTGAGATGATAGTAATAGCTTTAAAAATAGAGACATGCTTATTTCTTAATAAAAAAGAATAACATAAAGTAACAATATTGAAAATTATACCGGGATCAAGTTCTACGTGCTTTAGGGGATGTCTTTTCATTATCTCATTGATTCTTTCCATGTCAGCCATTGTTTGACCTGCCACTGGAAAATGATCTATCCTACCACATTTTTGTGATCCTGGTAAAATCTGAAAAAAAAACCATAAACAAATGACTATCAATTCTTTAAACAACAATAACAAAGTTAAATTTTATTCACGAAAAATAGGACTTTTTCGACCACAAACAGTTCATCTTACCATTAACAATTTCGAATCATTCATTAACGAAACATATCTCTAAAAAGCAGGTATTTCTCCTTTGATATGACAATATATTTTAGGACTTCTCAATATTGACCCTTTATTTTCGTTTTTGTTTTTTTGTACGTACATGTAAATATATCGAACGAGTCGGTTGTTGTACGTTGACGTGGACTGTTGTTCCGTTCAATATTGTTGGTAACTAGCCTTTTTTAAACTATTTACTGACAATAGAAAAGTATTTCACGACAGTATCACTGGGCTGGTTACCTGTGTTTTGGCCGACATCACTGGGCCGCTGGTGCTATTCGAGGAAACGACAAGGCCAATTGCCAGTTTTTTATGACACAATGAGACCAGTTACGAGTGTTTTTGTACGTACTTAAAATATAAAAAAAAATATTCTGTTAAAGTATAAATAAAAAAGTGTCTTTTTCTTTCCGATATCTTTTCACGCCCTGCCTACGATTGAAGGAACATATTGTTTCCCGGTCTGTACGGCCGTCCGTTAAGTATCATAATCCTATTAACTTTTAAATTTATACACATTATGTTGTTTACCGAATACATTATTCTTATATCTTTATAAAATTGAGAATGGAAATGGGTAACATGTCAAAGAGACAACAACCCGACCAAAGAGCAGACAACAGCCGAAGGCCACCAATGGGTCTTCAACGCAGCGAGAAAATCCCGCACCCGGAGGATATCCTCAGCTGGCCCCTAAATAAAATTGTGTACTAGTTCAATGAAAATGGACGTCACACTAAACTCTAAAACATATAAATGAACTAAAATTAAAAAACATACAAGACTAAAAAAGGCCAGAGGCTCCTGACTTGGGACAGGCGCAAAAATGCGGCGGGGTTAAACATGATTTGTGAGATCTCAACCCTCCCCCTATACCTCTAGCCAATGTGGAATAAAGAAACACATAGCAATACTGATGTATGTTTTTTTTAAACATTATTGCCATTAAACTTTTAAAATTCTCGGATTTATTATAGTGTATAAGATGATGTATTCTTGGCAAAGACCAAACAAATCAAGATATAAACAACTATCATATTTGTTTTTTTAGCATAACTGATCAAAAATGACTTATTAGAATGCGAATATGGTGCTAGTAAATTAAATTAGGTATCGTCAGAATTTGTATATGAGAGAGGCGAAAGATACCCAAGGCACATTCAAACTCATAAGTGGAAAATAAACTGACAACGCTATGGTTAAAAAAGAAAAAGACCAACAGACAAACAACAGTACACAAATCACAACATAGAAACTAAAAACTGAGCAACACCAACCCCACCAAAAACTTGGGGTGATCTCAGGTGGCCCGGAAGGGTAAGCAGATGTTTAGAACTGATGGTTTAGCTTCCAGTACATGAAGAGTCAAGATCGCAGTTACCTGAAGACATCCATTGGACGGTTCACACTTGTCGACTGCAACAAATATAGTGTTGATTTGGGGAAATAGACATCCATTTTTGTACCAGTAGCTACAAAATGTTTTGCAAAGATATATAAAAGAGATAACAAAAATATTACTCGACATGTGACTTATTGTTGTCCCCGTACTATATATCGGTAACATGATTTTAATTAATTGATGTACGTTTTACAAATTACAAGTTTGGTTAATATTTTTGTGTTTTAAGTATTTCATTTAGATTTGACAATGCTGTTGAATCGCTGTTAAATATATATATGTTTGTTGTTTTCTGTTTGGCACTAAATTAATAATAAGATCTATTTTGTTACGCTTGTGATCCGTTTATTTAGCAATCGCCAATGGCAGTCAGCAGGGTTTAAGAACATCAGTTGTTCGACCTGCTAGTCAAATGCGTTTTGTTAAAATATACTTTTTCACTCATTTGGTCTTTTGGAAAATGTTGTTTGTGCTGTATTTAGACCCCTCTACCAAGAAATTTGTTTTTCATGCACACGTATAAAAATTGCGGTTTTTATCCAACGCAATCATAGGTTTGAACGTTGTTTTCAATTTATATTTGTTTATATTTTTTCGTTTGGGCTTGTATTATATTTGCCTTCGGGTTTATATGATCCGTTCATCCTATTTTGACTCTTTCAAAATTCAAGAGTCTATCCTAAATTGAGGTAAATTATATGGCCTTCCAAATACCGTTTCGATTCCTAGCATCACTGAAGAGACATTAATTGTCGAAATCCGGATATGGTGTACAGAATTTTGCAACTCATGTTTGCGGTATACCATCTTTTCCGCAAGTTTATTGTTTTCTGTTTGGCACTAAATTAATAATAAGATCTATTTTGTTACGCTTGTGATCCGTTTATTTGGCAATCGCCAATGGCAGTCAGCAGGGTTTAAGAACATCAGTTGTTCGACCTGCTAGTCAAATGCGTTTTGTTAAAATATACTTTTTCACTCATTTGGTCTTTTGGAAAATGTTGTTTGTGCTGTATTTAGACCCCTCTACCAAGAAATTTGTTTTGCATGCACACGTATAAAAATTGCGGTTTTTATCCAACGCAATCATAGGTTTGAACGTTGTTTTCAGTTTAGATTTGTATATATATATATATATATATAAAACGTCTGAATAATAGTCAACGATTTTTCCCACGAGGGCGCTGGATCGTTACGAGTAACGATACATGTACACAATAAATAAATTATATAAACGCCTAAAAAGTGTACACAACAACACCAATAACAAAAAAAGGAACTATAAATGTAATTATTTATAAATATTTCGGATAACAGATATCCTTCATCAGTAAACATGATTGTGATGTTGAATGAATCATATATCAGTCTACTTAAATTTAACTATAACAATCTTGAAATTTATACAATAAAAAAGTCAAACCGAACATCAGGTAAGACGCTTGCACAATTCGAAATATGTGTTAAACACGACATAGGTTATATGACTAATTACAGCAGAGAGTTCAAATATATGCTTTAAATAAAAATAATAATGTGCGATATGAACTAGCACAATTCTAAAGCTTTAACGGTGACGAAAGTTATGATGTATATATATATATATATATATATATATATATAATATCAAGATATAGTCTTGACAAGTCCCCAGATGGACGAAGGCGCTAAACAAAATACCAATGTTAAATCTTTTCTTGCTTCTTGAATTTCAGTATTTTGGTATTGATCTTAATAAAGTTATTCGGCCCGTTCCATTACAGAAAAAAAACCATGTCATTTCGAATATTCTAATTTTATTATACCCATAATCCTGATGCCACAAATGACTTCCGCCTGTAAATGCGTCCTTGCGGATAAACTTAGCGTGATAATGGTAAACTTCACCACCACCAAGCAACTGGAAATGAAAAACATAAACATGGCACATAGAATTACTAGTGGTTGTACTATTTCTCAAATCATGACATAGTTACTTTATAATTACTTACTGGATATTCACTTCCGGTTGAAATATTTTGCCACAAAAATTTTAATGCAGTAAATGTATCTTTTTCATATTTTGTGACTTTACAATTATTAAATAATAAATTATTAAGTTCACACATTAAACTATCTCTAATTGTTATTTTAATTGGCAAGGCTTGGCGTAAATATCTAAAGGGTCTCCTAATGTAGTCCAATTCTTGTTAACGTAAATATAATAGTATTGCTTAATCATTTATCGGTATATTAAAGAGTGCTCATTTTTCGACATTAGCCATCGGAAAGCAAGCTATAGGATACGTTCGTTGTTGCTAACTTCTAAATATTGATTGATTAATTGATCGCTGTTTGCATAACATTCAGTGGCATATACTTCATGTAAATTGAAAACGAGCTATCTGAAAATCTGAAGATCACATGCTTGAAGTTGCGTATTTTAGCGCAAATAAATTGAAAGTATATACTACCTACTTAGAGTCGAAAAGTATGTTTTTCCAACCTTCTTTAGAAAAAAGAAAAAAAATACTGGACCGCTGGTAATTTCACGTCGAAGGAAATTCAAATTGACCAAAAAGGGATATGTTGTATTTGCAATTTAAGACGAAACTTTTCGTTTGTCAAACAAAAGAAGGACTATGCTATATCAACAGCTGTTTAAGACGATGTTTTTTTTAATTGCACACATTCTCGTTCCCATTGAGAGTACAATGTATATTAATGTATTTTGAAACCTGGAGAAACATGACAGTTCAGTTTTGAAATACAAGAAAAAATTTAAACTTGACACATGTTTTATCATTTAATTAGTTGAGTTATTTGTAAAACAGTTATATAAATAATTCAACTAATTAAATAAACCTACTTGTGATTCTTTTAGCATGTTTAAGGGCCGCCCAACTTGCAGTAAGGTTACATTTTTAACTAACGCAATGTTTAACAAATTTCAGTAAATCATATTAAATGTTTGGAAAAAGAAGAAAAAAATAATTTCGCTGCTATACACACTGTGTATCATCACCACCGGATATAGGTACCTTTGGCCTGGTTCTCTGTTCATTGTCTAAGAAAAACAACATTACTGTACAAATACCAGCGTATACCTGGGTACCTATATGTTGGTATATGTACAGTAGTGTAGTCTCTCACAATGAATCAACAACTGACCATTTTCTAGATTTGGGCTGTTTTGTTCTTGAAACGTTTTATTAACATTTTCTGATCGCATTAACATTCCTTTTATACAAATATTTTTAAAATTCATATCTAGGCCTATCTTATTTACTTTCACACCGTGCTTATGTTTCTACCTTATGTGCATAGTATTCGTATCATTTGGATCTTGCGGACAAATTTTTCTTTTTATAATTTAGTTTAACACATGTAATGCAAAATCTGCATTTCGTTTGCATGAATATAAAATTTCAGCACGCTATGTTTCCTCCCACCTCCACCAACAGTAAATAGTATTACCTTCTGACAGGAGTCTACCACCTTTCTACTTCTCCCCACAATACCTGTGACGTCATTTCAATATTTCAGCATGCTATGTTTCCTGCCCCCCACCAACAGTACAGTGGTGATCACTTCTAACCTATCATTAGAACTGTCAGAATAATCTGTCATAGAGCTGTTCTACCTAGAACAGTTCTACCCTAGAACTGTTCTAAATAGAACTGTCAGAATCAGTTCTAGGTAGAACTGACCAAATCAGTTCTAGGTAGAACTGACAGGATCAGTTCCAGGGTAGAACTGTCTAAACCTGTTCTAGGTAGAACTGTCCAAATCAGTTCTAACCGTAGAACTGTCAGCAGAACTGTCTAAAACTGTTCTAGAACTGACCAAACCTGTCAGAATTGTAGAACAGTTCTAAATGACGTCACTGCAGTTACGACATTTTCCGTGACGAGAAAACAATGTCAGTGCTGTGATGAGAATTTTTTCATATATATTTTATTCTTTTGACTTATCTATATTTAAGACAAAGAGTTCTTAAAACTGTTCTTAGATAGAACTGACTAAATCAATTCTAGCCGTAGAACTGACCAAATCAGTTCTGATCGTAGAACTGTTCTAGTCGTAGAACTGTTCTAGCCGTAGAACTGTTCTAGTCGTAGAACTGACCAAATATTTCTATAGTAGAACTGTCTAAAACTGTTCTAGGGTAGAACAACTGTCAGGATCAGTTCTAGGTAGATCTGTCTAAATCAGTTCTAGGTAGAACTGACCAAATCAGTTCTAGGTTAGAACTGTTTTAGCTAGAACTGTCTAAAAGGTGACAGGATGACAGTTCTACATACTGTCCTAGAACAGTTCTCCTGACAGATTCTGACAGATTTGATGAGAGGTTAGAAGTGATCTCCACTGTATATAGTATTACCTTCTGACAGGAGTCTACCACCTTTCTACTTCTCGCCACAATACCTGTGACGTCACTTCCTGGATGACTCCATATTACAAGTTTGGCGTTTTTTCCTTTTCCATCGGGAATCTAAAATGTTCGAAATTGCACTCATAAAACAACTTTTAACTAATCGATGATTTAAAGGCTCTGGTGTTAACTTTCACTGTAAGGTTAAAATGTTGAATGAAGTACTTTTTCTATGAAACCTTTGAATACATCATTTATTTACACAGTTGAAATAGTTATTCAAAAATGACAAAAGACTTTTTCTAAGAAAATGCAATTTTGGTATGAAGTAAGTATCATTTTTCATGAACACACATGACCATGAATCAAAAACATGAACAATTTTTTATGAAAACCATTATTTTCATTAATATTACAGAAATTAATAATAATTTATCTTTTTTGTAATATCGTCAAAATAAATGAAAAAAGTTGACCATACACCGTAACCATGTTTCTCGATCATATCGCTATCTTCTAGAACCCTTTTCATATTCGTCCGTTCCTCTTTGTCAAACATATTTCTGAAAGATACCAGTATTGCAACTGAAAGACTAGAACATGAGTCGTCGAAGTACATTTATCATATCTATCATGGTGAGATTTTCGATGAAAATTTTGTCCTGCATTTTTTTTAGTTGTAATCTCTGTCCTGCCTTTTTATTTTTCACTCTATTCGTGCCTTTTTTTTATTAGTTTATCCTGACTTTTTTTACATAAATTGTCATCCTGCCTTTTTTTTTTGTATTTGCCAAGTTGCTCATCCTGCCCTTTTTTTTACTCAAAACTCCTGTCCTGCCTTTTTCAAATTTCATACTAGCGCCCCCCCCCCCCTAAAAATCAAATGGTAGCTCCCTTACCGTCGATCTGGAACATTTTAACAATATGTTCTAACTCCCAGGCGAATTTAACGTTATCGGTTTCGGTTGCTCTCTATATGCCTTGATTTCCTTTCAATCTTCAATTTTTTTTTATGAATGCGGACTACAAGCGCTACGGTCTCACCCTTATCTAAGAGGCATTATTCAGAAGCGTGTCTTCCGCATTAAAATCACCCCCATAAACTTGAATTATCGTTAACCATTAATAACACCATCTTTAATAGTGTGAAGAGACTAGTTTCGTTTAGTTGCAAGTACCTAAAATGAGACTGTTAATGTTTATTTGTATTCAAATGAATTTATCATGAGGCTGACTGTCTAAGAATTAAAAGTCTTTTTACACCGCAGTACTTCCTCAACATTTATTATTCAAAAAATTACCTGACGATGATGTATCCATGCTCGTCATAGGCTGCTTGCACTTCTGGCGTTATATCAAATGTGTCGGTATATTTATATTCTAGCAAAATAACAAAATAATAACTATACATATTAAAATTTTATCTTACCTCCTATACATTTCTAGGAATATGATTGATCAAAAGCGACCGCGTGGAGACCGTGTATATTCCATATGCGGTTAGTAGGCGTGGTTTATTTCAATACACGGTTAGTAGTGGTGTTACGTCCCCTAATAAAAAAAACCTAGACGGCGTTGAAGAAAAATCTGAAACGTTTCGCCCGGACAACAGATGAAGAAATTGATGATGAAAGGTTGAAATAAATGCAGAAAACGCATTAAAAGCTAACAACTTGTTATTGTTAGCATTTGTTTTTGTATAGACAAATGAAAGTTGGTTCTTTATAATGAAGACTTGATCACTTTGATAGGCCACTAGTCTATATGCCACATGTTAAGATAGTCGGTAAGATAAATTCGTTGCACAGTGTGCTAGTGACCTTATACGATATATACACAGTGGCGGATCCAGAACTTTTCATAAGGGGGGGGGGGGGGGGGGGGCACGCTGACTGACCTAAAGGGGGGGGGCCGCTCCAGTCATGCTTCAGTGATTCCCTATATAATCAACCAAATTTTTCCCACAAAAAGGGGGGGGGGGGGGGGGTGCGGGCTGGATCCGCCTATGATACATGATATATGGGGTCAGTAAATTGCATATGAGGTTCGAGCTTCGCTCTCATCCCATATGGAATGTACTGACCTCATATATATCGTATTAGGTCACTAGCACACTATGTAACTAATAATATGAACTGATAAAGTTGCTTCAATCCACTTTGGACTCTGTTGGATAGTCGTCTCTTTTGCAATCATACCATATCTCCATAATTATGTTATATTCATATCTTGTTTTACGTAAAAAAGGAGAGAACAGGAAAAGAAAAATAAAACCCCGCCTATTCTATTCTATTATTATTATTAGTCACAAAGTATAACAACAAAAAATCTATTTTTTGTGGTATTCTCATCAATCTTAAATGTCATTTTTGAGGTTTATTACTGAAATTTTAAAAAGACCGTATACTGACAGTGACTTGAAAGCAGGGTCACCAAAACGAACACTTAATATATGAAAATTTACTCACCAGGGTTTGTCATGTTGCTTAGAATTTACATTTACTGAAATAAAAGATGAATACAAAGTGATGGCATAGCGTAAAACTAATTGGAGGTAAATGTAACATTTGTGGAATTTGGATTTGCTGTGAAGCGTAATGTAATCAAATATAATACTAAGAGTTTTCGCTGGTTTTTATCCTCTATTGGTGCATTGATTGTTGTCTCATTTGTGGTTAAGGGAGCTACCATTTGAATTTTATGGGGGGGGGGGGGGGGGGCTAGGATGTAATTTTTTTATTTTCCACTCTATTCGGTCCTGCCTTTTTTTTTTTTTTTAGTTTATCCTGACTTTTTTTTTACCTAAATTGTCATCCTGACTTTTATTTAACAAGTGTCTCATCCTGACTTTTTTTTTACTCAAAACTCCTGTTCTGCCTATTTTTCTTAAATTTCATCCTAGCCCCCCCCCCCTCCCCCCCCTTAAAAATCAAATGGTAGCTACCTAAGTCACATCTCATTTACCGCCAAGCTTTCGACCTACAAATGTATCTTGTCTAACGTTCATGTATCTAACTCAAAAATGCTCAATTTGTCTTCGTCATCTAAGCCGTCAACCCACTTTGTAGAACTTACCTTACTCACGTATGCATAATTTGTATATCCCCATTACATTTTTTAAGAAAGCTTTGACACCAGACGTAGCGAAAGCAACAGTCATTCTAATGCAAATTGAATGCTTATCGGGATTGAAGACCTGACTTTTTGTCCTAGTCCGCCATAGAAGTAAAACGTACTCGTCACGTATACCATCAGATGTAAAATAAGTTCGAAAATAATAAAATGGTATAGTAATCAAATGATGCTACAAGTTATACGAGTTTTTAATCTAATGATTTTTTTTTCTGCTAATGGTATTTTATACTCACATATAGTACTGATCAATACATTTTCTATCTTGCAATATTTATATGTAGTCCACTGTGATAATGATGTGTTATCTGTTTTAGATAACAACTAGATATATCATTCATATGAACTTAACAGAAAAAGGTACTAGTATATATAAACTAAGTCACTAATGCTCTTCTTCGTATATTATTTTGCCGCTTTAACTATTTTTTTACTCAAGCGTCACTGATCATTCTTTTACAGACGAAACGCGTGTCTGGCGTACAAATAAATTCATCATAGATACCAGGATTGACATTTTGTATTTGCGCCAGACGCGCGTTTCGTCTACAAAAGACTCACCAGTGACGCTCGAATCAAAAAAGTTAAAATGGCCAAATAAAGTACGAAGTTGAAGAACATTAAGGACCAAAAATTCCTAAAAGTTTTGCCAAATACAGCTAAGGTAATCTATTCCTGAGGTAAAAAAGCCTTAGTATTTCAAAATTGTAAAGTTTTATTAACAGTTAATTTATAATTATCACCATATCAATGATAATTCATGTCAACACAGAAGTGCTGACTACTGGGCTGGTGATACCCTCAGGGAATAAAAACTCCACCAGCAGTGGCATCGACCAAAATGTTAGCCTGGTATCTATGATCATCTTATTTACTAACAAGCTAAAGGTAGATTGATTAACAAATTAAGAAAAAAAATATATATATCTTATACTGTACAACCATTTATTGTGTAGCCGAGTACATACATCTCCCGTCCTGCAGTACATACTTAACAAGTTTTTGTAACTTTGACCTGGACTTTTAGACAAAGTGACGTCAAACCCTACAGGGATCTTCCTCTCACTTCATGTGACTACATATTCCACCCCATCCTATAACTATTTGCTTCATCAATAAGAAAGTTATTAGTGTTATTAGCCTTTTTGAAATTGTAACAACGTATACTGTATATACCGTACAGTATGCTGCAGTATGCTGTTAGCTTATTCGAAGATGAAATGTCTTTTCGGAAACACTCGCTTTCTTTTTGAATTGTAACAAATTATACTGTATATACTGTACAGTGTGCTGTTAGCTTATTTAAAGATTTTGGAAACACTCTCATTTGCTGTTTTAGAAAGAACGTGGTACTTGAACAAGAAGAAAGCTGCGGCCATTTTAACAAATTTGGTAGTTTTACATTTTAAAAGGTAGATAGATTAACTACATGTACTGACACCTTGGGTTAATATATAAAAGAGCAATACGCACAATATTAGTCTAGTTTTTGATTAATTTTACGCTGCAAATTATGAGACAAAATTGAAATTTATGAGCAATGCTGTTTGTTTTTTTTTTTAAAGAAAACTAGTTGATTTACTGTGTTATCAGGACTTTTGTTTACAATTACCAAACATTTAGATTGAATTTTCGACTGTTCGACATACTAAGGAGATAGTAAAAATGTTGTGAAGGGATGGTAACGATATTTTTTACTTGCCATGCTTGAAGCAAGAATCAATTTTTGTGATTCCGTTTTATTTTCTTTTATTTCTTCCTGGAAGCACATTATAGAGCCTGAATATTTATTTTAAAGTTCTCCAGTGTCTTCTATTCCTCCTGAGACTTATACTAACACGTTAATAGTCCCAGATTGCTCCAAAAATATTTTATTTTACGATTTATTTACAGCTTGAAAATAGCATGGGTGACCCTCAAAAGCAAGGAATATCATGACCCATCCCAGTCCCCCCCCTCCCCTCCGGACCCTCGAGGTTTTCTTTCATTTCAAAAAAATAACTTTGAACGATCTCATTTTGAGGAATGTGAACTTTAATAATTAAATTTACAGAATAATGGTATCTGAAATTCAATTAAAAGTATCCGTTTGGGCTTAAAATGATAACAAAAATCGAATTAGAATGCAACAAAATTAACTTAAAACGTAATATTCTGTTTATTTTGCCAAACAAACATAGTAATGGTACACTTCCGGTAGGGTAGGGGCGTGTACAATACCGAAACCATCTCGGTGAAAACATGACTTTTCTGGATTTTGACAATAAAAACATAAAAAGAAAAATGAATCCTAACTACTTATCTCACTTTATTTTTACAACGAAACTGGAACCAAACTATAAGAATAAACTTTCATTCCTAACCTAGTCAATTAGAGATGATGACAAAAATTTAGCAAAGTTTAAATCCTTAAAAATAATTTAAGATCATGGAAATTAATATAAGATAGAACTTGTGGCCTTAATTGTTTAAAGTTATGGATAGGTTGATAGTATTTTAGGTAAAATAGGTATATGCCATACCTAAAGTAAGAGAGGGGGTGAATAAAAAAATTTCACAATTTCGAAAAACAAAAATATATTTAAAGACTTGTACAATTTAGTTTCTAATTAAAAAGTTTTACATTAAACATCAAAGCTATATGACACAAAATAAATGGCTTATAAATTAACAAGCCTTTATACTATTATAAATCCAATAGGAATATTTAATAGGAAATTTGTCTGAAAACCCTTACATAAATTTAGGTTTTTCTGGTTCTATGGGTCAGTAAATCTATAATTATAATTATTATAGTGAACATTTTAGTAAACTTTTTATTTAAAAATTATTTTTTTTAGAAATATACTGAATTGTAAATGATAAAATTTGTTAAAGGGGAGATAATCAGAAGCTTTCCTTTAAAGTAGCATTTCATCAGTGCTTTTTTTATTCTTATGAATAGGATTAATAATTAGCACCAATAGTTACTCACACAGAAGAGACAAATAGAGCTAAATATATAAATATATGATTGCAAAATAAATGGAATACAATAGAGTGGTTTACATGTAAAACCCCCTTCTGTTATACAACTTAAAATATGAGCAGTAAGTGAAAATTAAACAGTAACCAAACAATACAAAAAGAGACAAGTAGAGGTCAACATAAAGTTTTCATAAACATTTTCTACTTATATATACATATATATAAATCTACAGCAAAAAGATGACCTTTATTTATTTTCAGTTTGAAGAGCTTTACTATGTATTGATGTCATGTAACTCTGTCTAATTTATTTATTACTATTGGTTAGATGGCATTATAGTCTAATTGTATAAAAATGTTTTCTTATTTTTTTTTATTAAAGAACATACAGAAATAAATTTTAATTCTAATTGATAAAACTCTGAAAGGGGAGATAATCAAGAGTTGTTCCATTAGAAGTAGAATTACACCCGTTCTATTAGTAGACAAAAAGTAAAATGATATCATCACAATATTAATTGTATAAAGAATAAAGTGGTTTACCAAGAAATACAAACACAAAATATATGAGGAATATGTCAATGAGACAGCAACTGAACAATACAAAAAGAGACAAGTAGAGGTCAGTACATGGTCTACAGAGAAATTCAAACTTTTAGATATATATGAAAATAATTTGTAGCAAAATAAAAGTGACCTTCTAATTTACAGTTTGTTTTTTTTTAGTTTGAAGATATAATAATACTATGCGCTGATGTAGTTGAAGGCTAGGGCAAGTCATACCTATTGGTAAGTAAACATTGTAGTCAAATTGTATAGGAATGTCTACTAGAGTTTGTTCATAGTGTATTTCATTTGTAAATGATATAATTTTGAAAGGGGAGATATTTAAAAGGTACTTGTTTCATTACAAGTAGCATTATATCAGTGCTTTTATTTCCTTTGCAATGTATATGAACATTTTGCACTAATAGCAACGTTGGTTAAGGCAAAATGTAACATGAAATCATTGCACTATAAATTGCATAAAGAAATAGTGGTTGACAAGAAATACAAACAAAAAATATGAGGAATATGTCAATGAGACAGCAACCAACCAAATACAAATAGAGACGAGTTGAGGTCAGTGGATAGTCTACAGAAAAAGTTATAACTTATATACATACATATATGAAAATAACAGCAACTGAATGTGACCATTATAATTTACTGAATGATATTTTAGATTGAAGATAGTTTACTGTGAACTCATGTGATCCAAGGTCCAGTTAATTTAATACTACATGTATTGGTAAGTAAGCACTAAAGAAACTATTTGCTTATTAATTTTATCCAATACAATTGGGAAATGTTTTTTAATTGTAATTAAATTATAAAATTATGAAAGGGGAGGTAATCAAGCACTTTTTAAATAGGATTTACATTTTGCACTAGGAGCAATATTTTTTGATATGGTACAAGGGAGTGCTCTTATAAAAGGAGAAAGATATAGAAAAATAAAAATACATACATTTGATATATACTATTGGTTTCAGTATCTGAAAATGAATGTGACCTTAATAATTCAATTATATTTTCAGTTTGAAGAGCTAATAACTACTGTGTACTGATGTCATGTGTTTCAAGGCCCAGTTAAGTTGTTATTACATTTGTATTGGTAAGTTGCGGCATTGAAGTCAAATATATAGGAACTTTTACTTATTCATTTAATCAAACAAAATTCAGGAATAAATTTTAATTCTAATTGATAAAACTCTGAAAGGGGAGATAATCAAGAGTTGTTCCATTAGAAGTAGAATTACACCCGTTCTATTAGTAGACAAAAAGTAAAATGATATCATCACAATATTAATTGTATAAAGAATAAAGTGGTTTACCAAGAAATACAAACACAAAATATATGAGGAATATGTCAATGAGACAGCAACTGAACAATACAAAAAGAGACAAGTAGAGGTCAGTACATGGTCTACAGAGAAATTCAAACTTTTAGATATATATGAAAATAATTTGTAGCAAAATAAAAGTGACCTTCTAATTTACAGTTTGTTTTTTTTTAGTTTGAAGATATAATAATACTATGCGCTGATGTAGTTGAAGGCTAGGGCAAGTCATACCTATTGGTAAGTAAACATTGTAGTCAAATTGTATAGGAATGTCTACTAGTTTGTTCATAGTGTATTTCATTTGTAAATGATATAATTTTGAAAGGGGAGATATTTAAAAGGTACTTGTTTCATTACAAGTAGCATCATATCAGTGCTTTTATTATACCCCACGCAACGAGTTGCGGAGGGTAAAATGTTTTTGACCTGTCCGTCCGTCTGTCCGTCCGTCTGTCTGTCTGTCTGTCCATCTGTCCGTCTGTCCATCCGTCAGTCCGTCAGTCCTATTTCTTGTCATCGCAACTCCTCTCAAACCACACAACAGAATTTCACGAAACCTTTTTAGATAATAAGGACATACTATGTAGTTGTGCATATCGACAGGAAATTACGATTTAATTTTTTTTCTAGGAGTTACGCCCCTTTGAACTTATTTACTTTAATGTACTACTGCAACCTTTTGTCATCGCAACTCCTCTCAAACCACACAACAGAATTTCATGAAACCTTTTCAGATAATAAGGACATACTACGTAGATGTGCATATCGACAGGAAATTACGATTCAATTTTTTTTCCATGAGTTACGCCCCTTTGAACTTATTTGCCCAATATACTACTGCAACCTTTTGTCATCGCAACTCCTCTCAAACCACACAACAGAATTTCATGAAACCTTTTCAGATAATAAGGACATACTACGTAGATGTGCATATCGACAGGAAATTACGATTCAATTTTTTTTCCATGAGTTACGCCCCTTTGAACTTATTTGCCCAATATACTACTGCAACCTTTTGTCATCGCAACTCCTCTCAAACCACACAACAGAATTTCATGAAACCTTTTCAGATAATAAGGACATACTACGTAGATGTGCATATCGACAGGAAATTACGATTCAATTTTTTTTCCATGAGTTACGCCCCTTTGAACTTATTTGCCCAATATACTACTGCAACCTTTTGTCATCGCAACTCCTCTCAAACCACACAACAGAATTTCATGAAACTGTGTAGATAATATGGACATACTATGTAGATGTGCATATTGACAGGAAATTATGATTCAATTTTTTTTCTGATACAATTTTTTTTTCTTACACTTATTTTATTTCTCCAATGAGAATGTGGGGACGTGGGGTATGTGAGCGCACTCACTAAGGTTCTTTAATTTCCTTTGCAATGTATATGAACATTTTGCACTAATAGCAACGTTGGTTTAGGCAAAACGTAACATGACATCATTGCACTATAAATTGTATAAAGAAATAGTGGTTGACCAAGAAATACAAACAAAAAATATGAGGAATATGTCAATGAGACAGCAACTAACCAAATACAAATAGAGACAAGTTGAGGTCAGTGGATAGTCTACAGAAAAAGTTATAACTTATATACATACATATATGAAAATAACAGCAACTGAATGTGACCTTTATAATTTACTGAATGATATTTTAGATTGAAGATAGTTTACTGTGAACTCATGTGATCCAAGGTCCAGTTAATTTAATACTACATGTATTGGTAAGTAAGCACTAAAGTAACTATTTGCTTATTTATTTTATCCAATAAAATAGGGAAATGGTTTTTAATTGTAATTTAATTATAAAATTATGAAAGGGGAGGTAATCAAGCACTTTTTAAATAGGATTTACATTTTGCACTAGGAGCAATATTTTTTTTATATGGTACAAGGGAGTGCTCTTATAAAAGGAGAAAGATATAGAAAATAAAAATACATACATTTGATATATACTATTGGTTTCAGTATCTGAAAATGAATGTGACCTTAATAATTCAATTATATTTTCAGTTTGAAGAGCTAATAACTACTGTGTACTGATGTCATGTGTTTCAAGGCCACATTAAGTTGTTATTACATTTGTATTGGTAAGTTGCGGCATTGAAGTCAAATATATAGGAACTTTTACTTATTCATTTAATCAAACAAAATTCAGGAATAAATTTTAATTCTAATTGATAAAACTCTGAAAGGGGAGATAATCAAGAGTTGTTCCATTAGAAGTAGCATTACACCAGTTCTTTTAGTTCTTTTGAAAACAGAATAAACATTTTTGGCTAAGTATCTTTTGTCACATGGTAGAAAAAAAGTAAAAGGATATCATTACAATATTAATTGCATAAAAATATTTTAGACCACTGTGGTTTATCAAGAAATACAAACAAAAAATATATGAGGAATATGTCAATGAGACAGCAACTGAACAATACCAAAAGAGACGAGAAGAGGTCAGTATAAAGTCTACAGAGAAAATTCAAACTTTTAATTGCTTAAAGAATATAGTGGTTTTCCAAGAAATACAAACAAAAAATATATGAGGAATATGTCAATGAGTCAGTAACTGAACAATACAAGAGACAAGTAGAGGTTAGTACATGGTCTGCAGTGAAAGTTAAAACTTATATATATATGTATATATAGAAGTCTATAAAAAGAACCAACCAGCAAATTTACTATGTACATATATGTATACACAAGTCTAAATTGAAAACAACGTTCAAACCTATGATTGCGTTGGATAAAAACCGCAATTTTTATACGTGTGCATGCAAAACAAATTTCTTGGTAGAGGGGTCTAAATACAGCACAAACAACATATATGTATACATATATATATATTGTTGGTGATGTTGTACCCTTTTAGACTGGTTATATATTGTATTTTGTAGTGTACTGTATCATAATTATATGATCCATCGCTCCGTAAGATTTATTGTTGGCTATTATTCAGTCATTTTATATATATATATATATCATAAATGAAAATAACAGCAACTGAATGTGACCTTTATAATTTACTGAATGATATTTTAGATTGAAGATAGTTTACTGTGAACTCATGTGATCCAAGGTCCAATTAATTTAATACTACATGTATTGGTAAGTAAGCACTAAAGAAACTATTTGCTTATTTATTTTATCCAATAAAATTGGGAAATGTTTTTTAATTGTAATTAAATTATAAAATTATGAAAGGGGAGGTAATCAAGCACTTTTTAAATAGGATTTACATTTTGCACTAGGAGCAACATATTTTTGATATGGTACCAGATAGTGCTCTTTTTGGAGGAAGATACAGAAAATACATACATGTGACATATACCATTGGTATCGGTATCTGATTCCACATGGCACTTGTTAATCATTGGCAATATCTATAATGTGGAAAACAAAAGGGTTGGACTGATGTAATTTTTAATCAACACCATTGTCCTATATAAGTTATGTATAAGTCAAATTCTTTGATTTGTCGTGTTTACGTCATGAAGGCTAACAAAATGGACCTTGTTATTTTAGTATTATAGATATATATATAAGTGTGTCTAAACCTGTGACAACTTTATATGACAGACATTCTCTGTTGGATTATCTGAGGTTATACAGCGCTAACACCATAATATATATATATCATCGTCTCATAGGTTTTCGTTATATTAAGAATGCATTATGACGTCACGATTTCCATTGAAAAAGCATGCATAGTTCGAAAACATATGACTACGAAAACATATGATATGACCATATGTATGAAAGGCAAACAATGATAGTGACCTTAAGAATTTGATATATTTTCAGTACGAAGATTTATAACCAAGTACTGATGTAATTAAAGGTCCATTCAATTTATATTGTAAGTAAACATTTTAGTCAAAATGTTTAGATATGATAATTTAATACAACCTTCTATAATGTATAATGAAATAAAATTCAGAAATATATCAAATCTTTTAAGAATACTTATTAAATTTATTTTATCAATGAAAATTCAGAAATATATTTTAATTGTAAATGGTAAAATTTTGAAAGGGGAGATAATCAAGCATAAGTTGTTTATTCTTAGTAGCATTACACCACTGTTTTTTTTTCAAATTTTGAACTTAGCAACTTTTGGACTGAGTAACATGACATATGAACACAACGAATTGCCTAAAAAACAGAGGAATATGTCAATGAGACAGCAATCAAACAATACAAAAAGAAACTGATATTTTTATATATAATATATATTCTATAAATACAAATTGATAATTTAATTGTACTTTTAGTTTGATGATTTTTAATTATTTATTTTTTAGATGTCTCATATAAAGAAAAGAAAGGTGCCATGCACTTTTGTAGTCCATCAAAATGGGAAAAAGAAAACAATAACTAAGTCATACAAACCTTTATCATCAATTGATAAAACTGCTGGTGCCAAAAATGATAAAGATGAAACTATAAATGCACAGGTGATGAACAATGAACCAGAAAGAAATGGTGATGTACAGCTGAACAATGAGCATGAAACACCTTTTACAGTTGACCCTAAAAATAGTATGTGAAGTGTTATTATTTTAAAGTGGCATTTATGATCTCCTTAAAGTAGAATTATGGGTTATAAGATGAATAAAGAGGTGTGCCATGAGTGCATTATATGCCCTTCATTTTTTCAATGAAAAAATGTCCATAACTCATCAATATCATATCAGAAATGTATTAAAAAATAAAGGAAGCTTATCTTAATAGATATAAACCATTCACCAAAGTTTCAAGTTTCAAAGGTTTAAGCCTTTTTTGAGTGATTCTCAGACGTGTTGATTAAAGACGGACAGACAAACAACAATATACAATAAAACGAATGTTCTGTAAACGGGCTTATAAAATTGAATTTTTTAAGCCAGAAAGAACTTGAAAGTTGACCAAAAAATGGTATAAAAAAAAATTGATAATTCTGCATATTCTGTCATCATAATTTTATTGGTATTTTTTAAAAGGTGCAAATGTGTTAACATCATTGATGAAGGTGACTGTAAAATATGTGTTGTAATTATTCATTAAGTATAAATATCATGCAAAAGATTGTCTAATTGGAATTTAATTTAATTTTGATATTTTTAGGTTGTTTTTTATACTTACAGTACCAAATACTTTAGTACTTTTTTTTAAGAATATGCTAAAGCCAAGTTCCAACGTTTAAACCATTGGTCAGAATTATGCAAGAAGCTGGTGTCTGCAGCAAAAGAAAAAGAAGCAGTAGTCAATTTTAAATGCCAGGATTGTGGAATTGAAAACCTTGATCTCTACCGATGCATAGATTGTATATCTTGGCCAGTTATATGTGAAAGTTGTCTGGAAATTAGGCATCAATTTCCACATTTACATGTTTTTGAGAAATGGATGGTAAGATTTTCCCCTTTTTTTAAAGAAAAACCATGTAAAATTAACTTGTAATTTAGTAAAGCAGATCTTTTCAGTAAGAATTTCTGAAATTAATAAAAATGTATGTGTGATGACAGCCCCCCTTCTTAATAAAGCATGAAGATACATGCAGATAATTGCTCAACGTAGTCTGACAAGAAAATTTCAAGAATAAAAAAAAAGTAAGACTTTTCAACTTATATACATATAAGTAAAACTGTTACACTACTAAATTTCTAAGGGATAATACTCTACCTCCAAAATAGTTTACATATAAACCAGTAAATAAAAAAAACACTTGTTTAAAAAGTATTACCCCTGACTGTACATGCTGTATGACAAACTTCAAAAATATTAAAATGACTATATCTACATGTTATTTTCATTATCATATCAATGGTTCAAGTATATATACATGATATATAAAATCTGTTCTACAAAATGTAGTATCACATTAAATATGTAAAACAATACAATTAATTTATCAATTTTACTAAAAATATATACAATTTTAGAAATTTGCACACACTTAAAGATGTACATTTGTAACTAATAGCATTTTCCTATTGATACATTCCATGCATTACATTGAAATAATTCTTTTTTAGATTGCAATTCTAGTTTAATAATCATAGAATTGAAATTTAAATTAACAAAAATCTACTGTGCATTAATGTCAGTGGCAGATCCAGTAATGAGGACATGCAACCCTAAGGCCTAGGCTACTTGGCCCCTTTCATTGCCATCTTTCTTGCAATTTGTTTTTTTTTAGCTAAATGTTTATCCTCATAAGATAATCTTCATACATAATCAAGTAAAATTTCATTTTAAAAGAAGAGCATTGCATAAACATGTAGCAATACATAGTATCCAACTGATTAAAATCCATTGTACTTGAACAAAATGCAAGATTGATTGTTTTGATGCTAACTTGATCTATACATTTGTAACTAGTCATGGTGTAAACTTTATAACAAATATCCATTCAATATCTTCAAGCATGAAGAAAGAAAAGTGAGGAAAACTGATTATCTGAGTGAATTTTTTAAGTCCAAGGACCATAAATCTACACAAAATCATCAAACAGGTACAAAATTTTAAACTTGATCTGTTACCATGGTTATTTGTCATAATTAAACTATAACCATTCAATATCTTCATTAATTTATTAAGTTCAAGGAACATAACTCTGCACAAAATCATCAGACCAGAACAAAATTTAAATGTGATCTGTAACTACATGTAGTCATGATGAAACTATATACCAATCATCCATTCAATGTCTTCATGCATGACGTGTGGAAAACTGATTATTTGAATGAATTTTCAAAGTCAAAGGACCATAACTCTGCACAAAATCATCACACCAGAACAAAATATAAAGTTGATCTGTAACTTGTCATGATAAAACAATACACCAAATATCAAATCAATATCTTCAAGCACAAAGAAAAAAAAAGTGAAAAACTGATTTGCTGGACTGAATGTGGACAGACAGACAAATGATTTAATTAATGGAGTGCAAACCTGATCCCCTTCTATATCATCACAAGGGAACTAAACAGAGGGATCGATGTTCTTGATTTTACGCTTATGATTAAAATGAACTAAAAAAAGCCTTTTTTTCAAAATATATAAGTGATAAAATTGAAAGTGAGTTTGAATTATGGCAAAAAATAAATCCAATCTAACATGCTTTTAAGTCATCATCCTTTGGACTACCAGTAATTTAAAATTAATCAACATCAGGAAAAGCATAAAAATGATAAAGCATTACTGAGTCAAATCCTTAATTAAAAATACATTAGTTGTTAAGTGATTTCCTCAGCAGATGTTTCAACTACATGTACATGTACATTTTTGTATTTATCAAAAAGCTAAAATATGTTCTACATTGACTTCAACTTGTTTTAACATGTTTAAAGTAAACGATTTACAAATACCAAAAAATTCATAATACTTGTTTAAATGCAAAAGTTCTTCTTTCCTATGTGATGCCATCACTAATGCAGCCAGCAGTCATCTTGTAACTTTGAATATCATTACAAATTTTATAATGCTTAATTGCTATTGACCAGTTGCATTGGTTCTCTTCAATTCTCTTCAATTCAAAATAATCCTTATATATATTCATCATCATACTATTTGAGTGGTGCTGAACTCTTTATTATCATACACATTTTACATGTACATGAAAGTATAGGCAAAGGCATTGTAATCATAAATGTTTAGGATGTGTGGTGCCTGGTGGTCAGGTGTAATTTTGTTGCTTTCCTTTATCATGTTTATTCGCGTTATTGTTTTAACTTATCATGCTTATAGTGATAAACACAATCTTCCAATTCGTTGCATTTTTCCTATGAAAAGAATATATATCCTTTCCACAAAATTTGATATGACACTTTTCCCAGCAAATCACCCCAGGGAAAGGCTTTAAAGCGGCGCATTCATAAAATGTCTGTGTCTAGGGATATTTCAGGAGTCTTTCCCCTACTAACGCCAAAGCATTCAAATATGTTCGTGAATACGAAAAAATGTCCCGGTTGCAACTGGTATCAGGTGTTTTATATTATAATTTATATTACACCTTGTAGATCAGTCCAAGATTTACAGTACCATCCATATAATGATATCTTCTCCGAATTTTTCACCATTTTCCACATTTTACCTCTAGGTCCATTATCGTATTTTACTGTTTTCATAACCGTTGTTATACAAGGTTATGCAGGCAAAATGGTTGATCCTTCAAACAAAAAATCAAATGTATGCAATCAAAATTATTTATCATTCAAAATATCAAATTAACAAATCAGGATTCATGAAGAGTTATCTCTCTTGCAAACTTATAATCACAAAAATGTCGGTAATGATCTGAATATATCCCGTTTTCAAGGAATGTATGCATCTCATTAATGCTTCTTTTAAAAAAAAAGGATAGGCCCTAGAAGAAGGTTTAAAAGCACGTTTAAATCTTCAACTGTGTAGTTCAAGGATTTTTCAAATTTATTTAAACAAACGTCACTAGTAACAAATGAGTAACGGCTCCACGTACAATACATAGACGGGCGGATTAAATAGTTCATTTTTATCAATATGAAAGAACTCTTTGTCGATCATTTTTATCCAAATGGAACATTTTCGTAAGAGTATAATGGTAATGAAAACACTGCCCACCACGTGCTATCTCAAAAGCACCATTAACTGGTCTTTTATCGTTAGATATTACCAGTAATTTCAAGTTCATAAGCTATACCTGAAATAATGCCATTACTATATAAATTAAGACTACTGGAAACACAAGTATAGATGTAGCTTAAGTGCTGATTGCTGGTGAAAAGTAAACAATGGCTGGATATTATTGGAAGCAGTTCTGGAAGTGATGACCTAATTCCGAAACAAATCAGTAAGCATTCCTGCAACGGAAATTACGGATGTCTAGCAAAACCTGTTACTGCTTTAATAAGCTAATAGCATACTGCAGCATACTGTACGGTATATACAGTATACGTTGTTACAATTTCAAAAAGGCTAATAACACTAATAACTTTCTTATTGATAAAGCAAATAGTTATAGGATAGGGTGCATATTCAAATAAGGCTACGTTCCGATATGAAATATTTAATTTAGCATCTGGAAAGCACTTTTAAGCAAACATTTCGGTCTATTTTTAGTATTTATGACTTTGTCCTAATATGATGTGACGTCAAAATTAATAGGGATCTTCATCTTATTTTAACCAAGTAAGATTGTAAGCGGATAAAAACTATTTGTTTTCACATCCGGAAGCCACTCAATTTGGATTTTTCTTAGTAACTATGACCTTAATCTTAAAATGCAGATATTTCGTCGATCAAACAATAAAGTAATATATAAATAACACGTAGCTGAGAGGGTGATAGAGCAGATTGTTACCACCAGAAAACACTGTCAATCTCAGTTATGTGTTATTAAATTTATTATACTGAATGTTCTGTCATTACTGTCTTTTAAATTTTAATTTGAAAGTAATTAACTATGACGTCATATACATAACAACGTCACAGTTATTAGAAAAACAACAAAATTAAAGCAAGATGTATCTTTTATTTTAACATGCTATGAAAAAGTTCTGAGGCCAAAACGCAGAACTTGAGCATTGTCCTTAAAATTATTGATGTAAATTCAATTCATTTTCCTTTAAATTATCGATTTTGATTGGTCTGCACGAGGGTGACATTCAAAAAATTGTCTCCCGCTGAACCATGGGATCGAATAAATTATCTCAATCGTATGAGCCAATCAAAATCTGGCATTTTTACGTGAAGTATAATAATTGATATTAGTGGTGGTAAGTACTAATTAATTCACCAGTCAATCTTGCGCCTCTGACGACGGAGATAACAAATTCTCTCGATATAAAATAATTAAACTCTTTCAATGAATTAATCTTCCATGAAACCACATGCAACATTAAGTCAACGGACCATAGTCTCGACGAGTCAGTCTCAAATTGACCAAATTGATATTATTTGAGTGACGATTGCCCATTAGTCAAAATTATTATCTATCAATTATATCTTCAAGAAACTTGACCGCAATAAGCAGACAAAACCTTTTCATAAATATGGCATTTAATAAATGTGTTTATATCGTGGTTATTCTGGAACTATGGTATCACCAATGCTTAGGTGATTATCAATATCCTGAACAATATGTGAAAGAAATGATGGGTATGAGATTAAATTAGTTAATAACCGATTAAATATTGATTGATTTATAGTTTGAAATTCAACTTGTGCAAGTGCGAAACTTTTTATGTATGCAGTAAAAAGTCAGATTTTTATTATCCTAAGGATCTACCATTTGATTTATAGGAAGGGGGGGGGGGGGGGGGGGGCTGCTAAGATGAAATTTGAAAAAGGCAGGACAGGAGTTTTGAGTAAAAAAAAAGGCAGGATGAGCAACTTTGCAAAAAAAAAAAAGGCAGGATGACAATTTATGTAAAAAAAATCAGGATAAACTAATATTTTGAAAGGTAAACATTTTACTTGGAAGAAGTTAAGAACAGAGCATGTCAAATATAATACATGGAGCAAACATATAAAACTTCCCTGATTTTCCAACGAAACTGATCGCTTAAACCAGTTCTGAAGGCCTACACTTCGGTCACTGACAGAAAATATAACACAAACAACAAAGTTCATACTTAAAATAAAAAAAATATCAGACAACGTTTATTCATTTCAACACGATTTTGCAGATATACGTAAACACGTTCATCATCTGGTTTGCCATGCAAAAATTGAGTCCGTTAATCTCATTCATATACGACGACAGGATAAATATCATTTGTCATGGATACTCTATAGGACAAACTTCTTGTAATAACACAAATTCAAATCAATTTTTATTGTCATTAAACATTTACAGTATGCTTGTGGCAATACAACAGACTATTTTTGTTAGAAAAATAGACAGAGCTTATATTTTTTTTTTATTTAAGTCAGATATCTATTTTTTTTTTATCAATTATTGATAAATATATGATCTATTCTTCCTAGTTATTCTACGCATGCTTAAGCTTGGATTGGTAAAAAACGTTTTTAATCCATGATAATGCAACATATACAGCAAACCAATTATCATATCAGCCATTTTGTTTTTGCACCATGAAATGGCAAACGATGCTCCCTTGATGTGGCGGTTGCATATATTAAATTTTTTTATGATGAACTTAATTTCGGATGCAACACGTCTTCTGATTGGATGAAAGATTTTGTCTATCAGCTCATAGACATAATTTTGTCATGTGACCGTGACGTCATCAACGTTTTTTCATGGTTTACTTCTTAAAAATGGAATTTATAATTAAATTATAAAAAAAGACTGTAATTCTTTTTCTGTATATTTGAAATAACCTCAAAAATGTAGTGCACACTAGTCTTTTAAATTACCCGTTACAGTCATTCCTTAAATATTGAAAAAATGTAACTATACGATAATTTAGTAATACTATTTATCATTGAAATTATCACCGTTCTGATTCAGGTGAAGATTCTCAAAGAATAGCATTTTCTACAACCTTAACACACAACGCAGTTTTGGAGAACCATACCCCCGTTGAATTCGATAGAATAATCACCAATGAAGGAAATGCATACGATTCAAGTGACGGTCATTTCATGGCTCCAATCAGGGGATTGTATCTCCTGTCTGTTTCAATAATGAACGTTGAGGGTCACGAAGAGCACACGGAAATAGTACGAAATGGCGTGCAGTTGGTTGCCATGTACTCCGATGAGGACAACTACAGTATGGCGAGTCAAACTTTTGTAGTTTTGCTTGAGAAAGGTGACAAAGTATGAGTGAGAATACTTTTTGGAGGATTTGCTACTATTCTTGGAAAACCAAACGAACCATACAACACATTTTCTGGAGTGCTTCTTTTTGCAATGTAGGATTGCATCTCATACAAATACAGATTGAGTTATCACTTTTTTTTCTTTTGTTCTAATAATAAGTGTGGATACTGATCAGTGTGGATAGTAAAAGTTTGGTTTGAGAAACGGTTCTTAGGAACTTTTGCACGATGTGTATGATACAAATAGTAATATTATGGAGGTATTACCCCCTATGTGTGTTCCCTTTTAGCCATAATTACAGGTATTTATTTGAATTGAATGTGTGGGCTTAACTACAATGTCTATTTAGTATGTGTTCACAACCCTAGTAACATTTGTGCATGCTTTGGTTTGAATGTCTTTCTCCTTGGGTCTGCGTTAAACTGTGTTCCATGGTGACAACCATCTTGGGTTTCAGATTTTTAACAAATACTCAAATATAGTTTATGATCAACCTTTGTATCATTTATTCAAGATTTGGTTTAATGTTTATCCGTTTCAAAGAAGTAGCTATTTAATGCATTTCCAATATGGTTCTATATTTAATTATGTTCCGCAGTGGTGTCCATTTTTATTTTTTATGAAATAAAAAACACCAAACGCTAAAAATTGTACAGCATTTGATTTTAATGTTTGAGATGGTTTATTATAAGCTGTATTTTTGTATTTATCATATGTGTTCTATTATGTTGCAATACGGTGGTCATTCATATTATTTTGGTTTGGCAAAAATAAACTTATAAATTATAACAATACTAATTAGTATAGGATCATCCTAGTATCTTTAGTGCAAGATTTTGTTTAAATGTGGAAGATTGTTTCTGAAAAAAAAGCAATGTTAATGCATTTCTAAAAGGTTTCTATGTTAAACTTTGATCCATGGTGCCAACCCTCTCTGATTTGGATTGTAAAAAAACCTTAAAATCCCAATTCACAATGCCAAGTTTAGTTCCGAGATGAAATTTTAACAAATGTAACTATTAAAGTATTTAACTGATAACGATGGAGTCAGGAGTCAAATTGATGGCAATTACTCACACAACAGTATTCTGTCATTTTAGTTCCATCTTTGAAGTTCAACATGTTTTCTGCATCGACTTGCAAGGCTTGGTTGACAATATTTAAAAGAAAATATTACAATTTAAAATTAATTAAAGTTAGAAGGTAAATCCATTTTACGTGTTTATGAGTTTTGTATTTCTAGAAGTCAATTTAGATAAATTGTGTTGATTTAAAGAAAAATTATATTTTAATGATTTTGGAATGAAAAAGGTGGTGCAGAAGTTTGTTGTATATGTTTTATCAATAACAAACTTTTTAATGAATGTCTTAAATAATGAAAAAAGAAGAATGAAAATGTTAATTTTTGTTTAAAAATGTTGTTATTTTTTTAACAAATTTTTTTTTTATTTTACCAAATATTTTTAAAATTCAACAAAGTACGCTAAATTTCTATTTTCTACACCCAAAAATAGATAACCTTAGCTATATTTAACAAAACCTTTCGGAATTTTGGGTCCTCAATGCTCTTAAACTTCTTACTTTATTTGGCCTTTTTACTTTTTTGATTCGAGTGTCATTGCTAGGTCTTTTGTAGACGAAACGGGCGTCTGACGTATAAAATCCACTGAGTAGATGCCACTGTTGGTCGAGGTTTCCTCCACGAGAGAAGTCAGCACTTCTGTGTTGACATGAATTATCATTGACATGGTAATATTTATAAAATAACTGTTAAAAAAACTTTGAATTGTTTGAAATACTAAAGATTTCCACCCCAGGAATAGATTACCTTAGCTGTATTTGTAAAAAAACCTTCGGAATTTTGGGTCCTCAATGCTCGTCAACTTCGAACTTGATTTGGCCTTTTTATAACTTTTTTTTATTCGAGCGTCACTGATAAGTCTTTTGTAGCATGCAAAACAGGCACAACTATTTTATACTCCTCAGATAAATGTGATAAATTTGAAAGTTATTTTTAATGTCTTACTATAAAACTTTAAATGCTACATGTACACCATTAAATATTTTTGAATCTCAAAATGTGGAAATATCTATTGCATTATTTTATTATAAAAGAAATTTTCCATCAAAGAGTTCAAATGTAACACTGTATAAATATCAGATCAACAGAACAAATTCAACAGTCTTCGTCGTTACAAATGTATTTGAATTTCTAGTACATTAACTATTCTTTTCTTTTGGTTGAAAACAATTGTGTAAATACGGAGACCAATCGAGCATTCGGAACACTTTGTGGTCGGTAGACAAAAGTCAATCTCAATATACATTGTAACATTATCACAAATCAACTAGTTTTATTCAATTCAGGTAACGTCATAAACGTGAATGTGACTGCAACATGTCTTTAACAAGTTCTGTGGCATGTAAACTGGTTCCCCAACTCATAGCTATCCCAACGCCACCATGTCCGTAGTTATGTACGACCTGGAACAATTATTCAAAAATAATGAGATGTGGTATGATTGTCAATGAGACAACTATCCATCAAAGTTAAAATGAAGTGGATGTAAGCAATTATAGGCAACCGTACGGCCTTCAACAATGAAAAAAACCCATACCGTATTATTAATATTATTAAGATAGTTTTTGTTCATAATCTTCTTTCACAAGTATTTAAAAATTTTATCACACATTATCGTTTTAAATATGCAGAAGCGTATTATGGGCATAATCGAAAAGAATTTTCGTTAAAAAAAAAATTAAAAAAAAATGACTATTTGAAAAACTTTAAATCTGGACTAGTATAATAAATTTTAAAAAATCGTTTTTTACGAACACTTTACTGAAAAGAAATTTTGAGTTGATTGAAATTTGACTACAGTAACTGTGTAATGAAATAAAAAGAATCCGGACTTTAAAGAAGAAAAAACAATAACTTTCACAGAATTGAAATTTTCAATATCAAGATGTTGAAGTTTTGCATTCTTAAAGTAGAAATTTCAACTTACTGACTGCAAAAAATTAATAGTCTAAGAAGTTTGGATTATTAATTCAAGTAGAAACTTCAAAGTTAACATCATAAGATTTGAAAAGTTAGACATAAATGTTTGTTAAAAAATTAAATGTTTAATACATTAGGCTGTGAAATTTTGACTATACACGCAAAATCAATGCTATTCTTTTAGTTGCTTTATCACTTATACACTTTCGTATAAAACAAAATGAGTCAATATGTGCTATTCACATTGGTCAATTGTCAGGAAATTAATAAAAGGAAAAATCATGATGCGTTATGTTTTCAAAGAAAAAAGGTTCCAATAACTCGAATAATTCTACGCCCTCTAGCGGCCTGTAGCAATCGAAGATCAGTCGGAGATCGGCGGAATATAACGACTGACATTATTCGGGTTAAAATTATATTCTGATTTTTTTTTGGTACTAAATGATAAAAATTAATCTTGATAACCCTGCTTTAAAAATCCCGTATGAACAAATGAAAGTGTCCCTCCTGTCATGTATTAACATACGAGATTACATTGTAACTGAATGAAAGAAAGTTAGGAAAGGACTAAATATCATAATTTGAAATTTTGAGATTTTTGATAAAAAATAATCATACCTTTAATTTTCCAGTTGACAAGTTTATTATTTCAGATTCTAAACGTAATGGTGTCCTTGATGGGCGCAGACCTACCCATTCACTGTCTATTTGAGCTCCCTATATATATATACAATAGGAAAATTAAACTTAAGAGAAGTAGCAAAACACGAAAAGTCGTCAAAAATCGTCATTTAAGAACCATACACTCCTTAAGGAGTCATCCAATAGCTTTGGTCACATTTGCTTTTTGTATATCAAAAATTGTTGATATTTTTTTGCAGCTTACAGTTTTCATCTACCTGTTATAGTTCTCGGACTCGGATTTCTTTTAAACTGAGTTTTACTGTGCGTATTGCTGTGTGTTTGTTTATTCCATATTTACTAGAGGTAAAGGGGAGGGTTGGGGTCTCACTAAATATGTTTAACCCCATCGCATTTTTGCGCCTGTCCCAAGTCTGGAACCTCTAGCTTTGGTTAGTCTTGTCTATTTTTTTTTATTTTGGTTCATTTATATGTTTCGGACTTGAGTGTGGCGTCCATTTCGTTGAACTAGTATATATTATTGTAAATGGACCAGCTAGAGTCCGCCTCCGGGTGCGATATCTTCTCGCTGCATTGAAGAGCCATTGGTATCCTTGGATTGTTTTCTGCACTTTAATCGGTTTGTCTTTCCTTGACACATTTTTCCGTTTCCATTCTTGATATAATTAGCAGAACATAAACACTCGTCAAAAATCGTTATTTAATGACAATAACTCCACCAGTAGTCATTCAATGGATGGTCATATTGTCATTTTTGTACATTGTAGGTTTTGTATTGCTGATAATTTTTGACATCTATTGTCATTTTCGGGATGTTGGCAAAAACAGGAAAATTTGTCATTTAATGGCAATAATTGCCTTACGAATCATCTGATCAGGATCATTCACACCAAGTTTAGTTGAAATTTATTGAGCAGAAGATCTTTGAAAAAATAACAACGGACACGAACATACATGTCAGCTGAAATATCGTGGTTTCAAGCTATTATTATAACTCATTAAGGGGTCATCCAATTTTGTTTCGGTTGTTTGGCATTTTTGTAGATCTTGTTTTGCTGATAACTTTTGATTTAACAGTTTCTTATTATTGAATATAATAATAGTTCTTGAGATAATAGGTAAAAACATGACAATTGGCCAAAAATTGTCATTTAAATGCAATAACTCCTTAACGAGTCATAGGGTAACACTAGTGAACACAGGAAGTAAAAAAGTAAAAACTGACAAAAATGTTGTAACACCAAATTTTGCAAATTTGTTTTTACTTTCACGCATTATACAAGTTATTCCCTATTTTAACTTTTTGTTGATAGATAATTGTATGAAAGTTAAGTTTAGCTGAATCATTTTTTTTACCTGAAGTGGAGGCCAAAACTTATAGCATTTTTGTTGAATTTCCTGTTTATCTTGTTCATCTGTTTCTAAATTGTAATTATCAACTTGTCTGACACCACCAATTATCGTCAAGTCTTCACTAAAAAGGATAAATTCAATATCAATATAATGCCATATGTACCTATATACCGAGTACCAATTGAAACGCATCAACTTCATGTATTTTTCATTTTATTAAATTTCGAACAAACAGATATTTTCTGGAAGCTGACCAGTTGCTCCAAGATTTTTGAAGACTTTCCTCAATCTCAATTAATTTTCTTGGAAACTGAGATAAATAGATATTTTTGTGAGCTTATTTGCCAATCTCAATTAATTTTCTTGGGTACTGAGATATTTTTGTGTGAGCTTTTGGCTTATTTCTTGAGATTTAACGGGCGTGTTTAAGTTTTGTTTGGTTGTGTATCATTTTTTATATATATATTTTCGTACAGTTCATCTTCTAACATATATATATATATATCACACAGGAAAAAAATATAAAATAGTATTCCTCGAAAAAGTTCTATTTTCAAATGCTTGTTGCATTTCTTATGCAAGCACATAGATTTTCAATGTCCCCCCCCCCTCATGATTTTGATCTATTATTGTATTCATTATTCATATCTTTTAATGCATACTTTGGTAATATGTACTTTCCATCGTCTGTATACATCCAGTATTTTATCCAATCAGCTCGCAACTGTAAAAAATAACATCAGAAACTTAAATTTCTACGTCTATATCTACCATATATCAACAAAACATTTATGATAGATTAATTTTATACTAATAAACCGATAGATGAAAAATGAATATTACAATGTACTATACGTTTGATGTGAATAGCTGAATTTTATATTGACGTTTTGCGATTGATGATTTGAAAGAGTCTGCTCTAATACAATTTATGATGTTATCAGGTAGTTTGTTCCAGTCGGTTATTGTTCTTAGGAAAAAGGATGCTTTTCTGTTCAATGATCTGCAAGATGGAATTTGGACTGTTCGAATTTGAATGTCTTTTTTGACAATTTTGTCGAAATAATATGCAGTTCTTTAGTATTGAAACTTTTCATGTTCTGTTATGTATAGCATTACCAAACGTTAATACATATGGAAAAACTAATATGTATGCTAAAAAATTGCATCTGTTACTTTGAAAACGACAGAAATTAAAAATATATCTCCATTTCACCACACGGATACACTAAAATGTAAAAAAAAATAAGGATACTAGACAAATGAAATAACTTTCACACTGTATATGTTATGAGCATTTTTTTTTAAAGGTTATGTTTTTAAAACAGTTGTCTACTTGTTAGACGATTTGTGAGCACAATTGTCATTTATTGTGCAATGAAATTCAGCATCTCGATTCCTGTATCTAGGTCTACGTAGTCATGAGAAAAAGTAGTCGAACTACTGTATCACTAGCCTGCCAACACTGAGGCTGTGATTTCGAATCCAGAAAGTGTCAGGTGCGTTCGACTCCAATCTTAATTGACTAGGAATGTTAGTTTTCCTACCGAAGGTCGGTGGTTCTCTCCGGGCACTCCGGCTTCCTCCACCAATAAAAATTGACCGCCACGAAATAGCGCAATAGTGCTGAAAGTGCCGTTAAACACCAATCAATCCAATAATTTATAAATAGCAAGATCATACCTTTATCAACTGACCTCTGATTGCATGTACCTTGTTGTCGTTAAACAGTTTCCTACTTCCAAGACCAGTACAATTCACTACAACATCGTATTTACCTACAAGCTTTTAATTAAGAATTGAATGCTTCTTTTTATAATTTATTGGGTGTAAAAGCGCTGACCGTTTTGCATGAAGCGCGAAAGTGCTTTATCTTATAAATGTGCACACAATCAACGCTTTTACAACCCTATAAATTATAAAAAGAAGCTTTCAATTCTTATAATTATATCTTAATGCTACAATCGTGAAATTAATTGTTATATCAAGCTTTTTGTTGTCTTTCAATGCATTATTTTAACATTGTCATGGATATCACGTACAGTCAAAGCTGTTGTATTATTCTATACCGAAATAACATATAATATTGAAGTGCCTCGCGATTGTTATCAGCTAATCAAAACTATTGATTCTAATGAAACATACATGCAATGTTATTACATACATGTAATGTAATTTCATGTAAATAAATTAATTATAATGTTTTCTTTTATTTAATTTTACAGTTATTTCCCTGTCCAAACCCGCCCATACAAAATATAGAATAATCTTTTCGAAATATACATATAAAAATAAGAAGATGTAGTACAATCTATGATTACCGATGAGACAACCCTCCACCCAAGACTAAATGACGTAGAATTTCACAACTCTAGGTCGGTCATCGTACGGTCTTTAACAATGAGCAAAACCCACACCGCATAGTAAGCTATTAAAGTCCCCGAAATAACAAACGTGAAACAATTTCAAACGAGAAAACTAACTGCCTGATTTATATACAAACTAATAAACGAAAAACAAAGATGACAAACAACAACAAACGACAACCACTGAATTACAGCCTCCTGATTTGGGACAGATGCATATTGAATGTGGCGGGGTTAAACATGTTTGCTGGCGCAAACCCGCTAACATGTGATAGTGATGTAACAGTGCATGTAAAACAAATTATAAAAATCCGCTTAAATGGGCATAACCCATCAGATTGATGCAAAGAACAAAAAACTAACAAAACCACAAAATACACAAAGTACAGATCTGATAGTACTTGCAGTTACTGGAGGCTAGTTCAAAGCCAACAACAACTGATAAAAAATCACATATCTAAGACTTAAATATTCATTAGTAAACATCCAACATGTACGATTGATAAATCTGCGCTTGTATCTCTTACAGAAATATCATCGTTAAAGAAGTGCACTTTTACTTATGAAAAAAATACAAATATTGAGTTAACCAGCCACGGACTTTTATGATATATAAAAACAAAACTCCATGGGCCTTTGTAATATCCTTAAGGAAAACTGACCGACTTATCGACCGCCTTAAGTATTTATATGGCATCTAAGTTTTTAAAACGTAGAACTAGACAATTATAGTGTATTGATTTGATTTAATATAGAATAGTCTTTTACATATAGAAATAAAAAGCTATAGCATGAACGCCAGTGAAACAAGAACTCTATACCGCAGGACAATTAGGCTTAGACACGAGGAAACTGAGTAGGTCTGGTGAACGAGTGCGGCTTATTTCAAAATAAGATATCAACAATAAGCAATGCACGTAAAAATGTATACAATTTAATCAACAAATAAGAACAAGAACAATAGGAGAAATGAGTTTATGTCGATGTCCGCCTGGCATATGTGTGTACATAGCATGGAGAATTCAAAAGTGGTATGCGTGGTTTAAGGGCATACGATACAGTTTTGATCCCACGGTGAATTTTTGATGAAAATTTGCGTACAGGCTATTTTTTACCTGTTTAAATCAAATATGTAATAAAAAATATACCAGTGACTGTATATCACATACAAAATATAGTCAACCTATATTGACTGCTCAAATAGAACGATTTCAGTATAAATTATAAGACGACCCCAAATTATAATGCATAAAAACAAGTAGAAAAATATATCTCCTTTTAAGTTAGAAAAGATATCTAGATGTTCAATAATAAACAAGTCTCTAGAACATGTCTCTCAATAGTTTTTCGACATGACTTAGTCGAGATTTGTAAGGGAGAAGTAGTACTTGATTATCTGTACCAAGTTGGTTTATCTAGATAAATCCTGATCATTTACTCTATTTAGTGTATATGAATAGTCAGTTGTTGGTGTTTGTTCAGTTTGAAGTTAGCTGGTGTCCAATTCGCCGTTTCAGAATCTAATGCATTCTGGGTAATTTCATTGTTCGTACCCTAAAACGAAATACAACGTCACGCCATTGGTTGAATTTCAATTGTTTGTGACGTTGTTAGCCAATCACAGCGTTTTTGGTGTACGCTTTTGAAAATATTACCCAGAATGCATTCGATCCTGAAACGGCGAATTTCCCCCACCTAACTTTCGTCTTCCTATTTACGAGTCAGTATACAACATTTAATATTTTTTTCTATGTTAAGGAAGACAATAACGTAAAAATGTATCAGTACTTTAAGTAAACGCATCATACGTGTGTCGGTTAAGTTTAATTTATGAATTGGATGCTTCTTTTTTGTAATTTTATTAGGGTCTAAAGGGTTGACCGAAGCACAAAATGTTCGCACGATTAACGCTTTTACAATCCTATAAAATATAAAAATAGACGCATTCAATTCTTATAATTACATTTTTATGCTACAACCATGAAATTTCGAATTATAGCAAATGTTTCGTTTGTTATCGTATGCATTGTTTTGAAGTTGTCATGAGAAGCACGTGCTTTTTTTTTATTGAGAAATATAATTTGATAATGGAATGCCTCGCGATTGCTTTCAACTAATCAAATGTACGGATTCTTATGAAACATACATGTAATTTAATTATACGTAAATATAATACAAGTGATATGTGAAGAAACTTTCAACAATACCTCGTTTAAATTTTCTATTCGTCTTCCTTCAAATTTTCCTCCACCATCTAAATGTCTAAAGAAAAATAATTTTGATTCATTTTGTCAATCTTTTACTCTATAAACATCACACTCAAATGTATGCATTTGATTCGTTTAAATTTCGGTTGAGGATCATTATTCAAACACTTTTTTTTAATTAATTTAAATGACAGATTCAAGTTTAAGGTCAAATGGCAAAAATTACATGCATCATTTTAATACCATATCAATAATACTCTTATATTTAGTTCAAATGTATATATGTATAATGCATAAAACTGGTATCAACAATTCTTCTATTTTCACATACAATCAAAATGTAATTCAGAGATACTCGTCTTTTAACCAATTTACGAATAAATTTGTACCCGAGACGCCTTACATTCAACAGAATTTTGGTTTTGGTTAAACAAGTCCTTCCTATACATTTTTCTTATACTAAAAATTTTCTAATGTATGTTTATAAAATGCGGTTTTGGGATTTCTTCAGGCGTTAATTGTTGAATTTGGTCACCTCTTTAGAAATAAATCATACTATTGCTAGAACCTGAAAAAGCATATGGATCTGTTATAATTTTTACATAATAGTTGAAAGCTTTTTGAAAATGGCCCTGTAACTTTTTCAGAAAACAGGTTTCAATGCTTATATTTTCCAATCTTTATTCAGGTTATAGACCTAACTCGGACAACCTCAATGTCATTTGAAAAAAATTCATTCGACACAACTCGACAGATCTAGCAATCTAACATTCGGCACACCTTGGCTGATGTAGGGTAGGGAAGGGTAGCGGAATCAGCCGAAATTTGCCGATTGATCAAAAGTACGAGATCTTACTGAAAAGCGGTGCAATAAAACGGATTAATGTTCCTTCTTGTCTGTTTTATATTCGCCTGTCCTTTTTCTCAATCTTAAGTAAAATGAGACTTAAAATAAGAGTCTTAACAAATTCAAAAAGGTCCGGTCCTTTTTGCTTCAACTTACAGTTTTGTTAACCATGGTAGATATTTCTTTACATATGTTATCACTGTTGTTATATGGTAACCATACCTACAAATAAATGATATTATTTCTATGAAACACACCTTGTATTTGCTTTTAAATTCTATTCGTATGTCAATTTGCTTTCAGATTCTGTCCTTAATGTTTTAAAGTACTTGAAGAATTAAGCTTACATTCAATTAAGGAATTAAACAACCTAATGTATATTGGTTTTATTTCCGTTTTGCTTCGAATAAGGGACACGGTGGAGTTCGTATTAAAGCAAAAAACCAGGTCTTTTTTAATTGTGTTTGTCCAAAACGCCGCTCTGTTGAAGTTCGGTCACGTTAATAAAGTCTTTGAAAATACAATTTCTTATACAAGTCCCTCTATATTTGCTCAACGAGATTCATAAAGATAACAAAAATACGGGTAAGATGAAATGAAATCGTTTTGACAGATATTTCCCACATAGATTTTAGGGAAAAATAAACGTGTGAAGTTTTAACGTCTCCAAAACTACACATGACCAAGAGAAGTGCTCTTATATTTAATTCAAAAATGTAATGGTTTGGTATTAAACACTTACTTATATTTGTTATACATATTCAGTCTTCTTAATTCATCGTCTGTCATTCGTGAAAATGTATATACATAGTCTGCGTACAATGGATTCTAAAAAAGGGTATAGTGAATGACAAAAACAAATATTTAATTTATGCTATGGGATGTAAAAGAATATTTCATATATTTTCAATTATAATTTTTTTTTCTGTCGTTGCCTTTTGTTTTTGCAATATGACATAAAGAAATTCTTATATCTTATCTTTTTGGGTAGTGATTTGATGACGTGATTGTTTGTCTTTCGTCGGCTTTCGTTTTTGTTGCCATGGCTTCGTTAGTTTCTCTTCGACTTAATATGCGTTTTAATGTTCTCTCGGTATCTTCCGTCACATTTTGAATATCTATTTTTTTATTACCTACAGTAATGTAGTATTTGACAATGTTGTTAGTATTTTTAGACGTTTTAAACTTTTCGTTTTTTTTTGGGAAATTTTGAGATTATTACATGTATATAGTTGATTTCTTAATGCAAGGAGATGTGGGTATATGACAATGACACAGTTACTCAACGACAACAAAATGTAGAGGTCAACATACGGGTACCAACAATAAATGAGTGTCTGTATAATGCGCCAAGTTCTAAATCGCACAGAGACTAAACAATGTGATATTTAGTTAAAAGTAATAAGAATATCTAGAGGTCTTGTAACAGAAAAAAAAAAAACGACACAAAAGTTGTTTCATGATTTCAGATAACCATCAGATCTTAATGAGTAAATACCACAAAATGATCCAAAATAGGTCATCATTTACGCCATTCAAAATAAAACAAAATGATTAGGAACCAAATTGAAATACTTGTACTACGACAAGTGTTGAATTAAAATTGAAAAGACAAATAATAAAATAAATGGATTAATGTGAGCGTCTTACTTTAACTTCGTTGTTACTAAAATAATATCCAGCTACCATTTGATTTCCGGAGATACCAGCTTGTGACGATACTGTCAAACCAGAAAACCATTTCCAAGATTCACTCGTCCATTTTCTTTAACAACAAGGAAGAGTTATCATCAAGGTTTTAGAAGCTACTTGTTAAGTAGTCATACGAGTATACATCAATGAACATCAACATATCGCCACCAACACAATATATTGTACATTACTGTCTTGAGATATGAATACATGAGACAGCAACTTAACAATACAACAACTCCCAAAATTCATCATCAGCCATTATCAAAACAATCTCTCTTCAATGAATAGATATGTCTGATTCTTAGACGTATGTGTAAGACACAAACTACGAAAAAAAACTGACAAATAATTTCGTTCAAACCTGTGCTGGTGACCTTGCTGTGAGGGGTGTTTTAAAGACCTCATTTTAATTTTGATGTGAAGAAAAACAAAAAGGCGCTTTTTCTTTGCTTTAAGTTTTGTAAAGTTCGAGAAGTGATTTTGCGTTAGTAATAAATACACCGTGTCCTTATATTCCATCACAAATATGTAACCAAGTAAGTAGCATTAAGGTCAATAAAGGGGACGATGAAAACCATACATCGACGAAAGACGGGCATCGCTCGGAGGATAAACAAGGAGGAACATGAACCCAACTTAAACCGGGAGTGAACTCAGGTGATCCTAAAGGTTCTTAGTTTCTGGTCTTGACCAGTTGAAATGCAATTCTCATGAATTGTGTTGAAACATGTTGCGTTGCAATTAGTTATTTTTTTTTAGTGATTCTGAAGCAGATTTCTTCTCGGATAGGTCTGCCGTCTACAGGCCTGTTATAGAAAGACGGTGTGGCTCATTAACTTCTACATAGTGCCACTTTTGCCACTTCCACCAAAAAAAAGTGCCTTGAAAATAACCATAGCAATCAGATAAGACGTGACTGTCATCTCTCACAGTAATACTAACAAACCCCACCCCCTTAAATCCTCAGCATGTGTTGTGTCTTACTGTCTGACGAAAGACGTCCATGTTTTGTTTACTTCAATTCGGATTCGGTGCATTCTGGCACAATCATGACCGTATTTTCAAGTTTAGCAACAGCTACATGTCAAGGATCGAAATAAGTTTAACAGTGTTAATTATTTAATCATATTGTTACATTTTATTAGTTGTTTATTTTAGTACATAATTGAGATTAAAAAGTAGATTTGTGAGTTTTAAAGTGACAGGAAGACTTACAAATAATCTTCCGGCAAAATATGTTACAACGGATCTTATTCATATTTAAATAAATGATCCAACTCTTCTGTCAGTTTAAAAATAATGAATTAACATATTCCTAAAGATGGCAAGCAATTTATGTTTATTTTTAAACTGAATCATACTAAAATATACTTTTATAGATGCATGTGGTGCGAATGACGTTGCGTCGTATTAGAGAGAAAAAAAAACGGACAACAAAACTGACACTAAAATAAAGCTATTTTAATGTTTTTGTTTGTTGTTTTTGAGGATTTTTTTTATTCTTACCACCATGTTTATTAAATTTTCAAGTGGAGCAATAAACGGCGAAAGCGTCAGTGTACATTATTAATCAATAACTAATCTTACATTGTACATGTATATGAGTAAATGGGAAAATAATAACTCTACCTTGCAATATTTTCTGGTACTCCGGGAAGCAGTTTGGCTGTTGGTTTGAATATACCTCCTGCACCATGACTTGTAGTTTCAGTTCCAAACTTATCTGCTATAATTGTGACACATACATGTGGCAAGGCTCTCTTTATATTGATTGCAGTAGATAGCCCGACAACCCCAGCACCAAGAACAGCAATATTTGTCATTTTTCTGCTTTAAATATTTATTTTTAACTGAGTTGTAATATTCTGCAATAGAAAGTGTTCACACTGAAGGGAAAACGGTACTATTACATTTTCCTAGCATTAGGTTGGCCTTTTGTGTACCCAAGGCAGGTGAAGGAAGTCAACTTAGGAGCGCTGTGATTGGATGTAAGGGTACAATATATTTTTTTATTTATCTATGAATAACTGCAGTGTGTATATTTACAATATAAATTTTGAAACCCATTGAAATATTTTCTAGAGAATTATTCGAAAAGACTTCCAAAATTTCATAAATTTAATGTAAAATGACGGTGGGCATGGATAACATAAACAAGCTCCGTTGGAAGTTGGTCATGATACTATTTGGCTTCAATTTTTAAAACAGAGTAATAAAGTACTAACACCACACATAACTGTTTTGTCCAGGTTTTTATTATAAAAAGGGGTAAATTTAGAAAGCGTTAGTATTGTCGCCTATGGCAGAATAAATAGTACCGTTTTCCCTATACTGAAGATAGCAAGGGAAATCAAAATCAATCAGACTTCAGTTATATTACACTATTTTGAAGCTTTTGATTAATACGTTTGATTTTTATCACCAAGAATAGAAATTTTTCACTGAGACCAATACTGTGTTGAGAAAAGTGCTGAGTCATCATAATAAGTCAAATTGATGGGTACTGATATAAAACTTCATTCTAGGATTTCAATATTAACTATATTGTATAAAATGCACCTAACTCTAGTTCTTTTGTATTTGTTTTCACCTTGCGCAATGATTAATTCAATTGGAAACACCAGAATTCAAGTCGCGACAAATATTTTTAACTGAAATATTTGCCTTTTTTGCTGTGTAATTCCCTAAATGTATCCCTTGGGTATTTCTCAAGACATAATCTATTAAATTGGGAAATTGTCTGGTTAAGTTTGTACTGTTTATGGAGTAAGGCAATATTTGGTCACAATAGAAGCATTTTCAGTATAAAATTTGTCCATCTAAGAAAAAAAGAGGCCCAATTGAGGCTAAATTTAGGTAGATTTTATATTCTCCTGTGTAAAGAATTGATCACATTCTTGGCAATTTTTGCAGCAAATGTTTGAATAGTGCTTCATTTTGTAGTTTCTATCTTTTATTATATCAAGCATATATAGTTTTTCATTTTCAACTGTTTGAAAAGACTTTTGTTGGAAATGAATACTCCCAAGGGACATAATTCAGCTTTTTCATAGACTGATACAGGCAAGAAAGGCAACTTTACAGCTGAGTATTTTGCATATTTAATGTTATAAGTGTCTAATATCTTTGTTTTTATCATCCCAAGACAGAATAATGGATTTTATAACAAGTTCTGAAATTTTGAACCACAATATGGCATATACTAAAGCATGGAATGGAGATTAGTATGAAAAATCTTGAATTTGTGCTTATGTTGTAAATTTTGGATAAATTGAATACAAATTGAATGGAATTGTCATTTTTATCTGTTTGAATGGTACTGTTTATTATTCTTTTTATATAAGATAAGATATGATTGGATACAGGTAGTTTATTAAGCCTTATCTGAAAGAAGTACAGAAAGAGGTAAACCAGCATATAGGGGTGGGGACATGAAATGGTCCATGTTTCTTTAGGTAATGGGGACATACAAGAATTTATTATAGCCAAGGTTTTCACAATAACCCAGTATAGCATTAATGGTGTCATAAGAATTCTTTATATCTTTATGTCACAATATAGGGAAAACGGTACTATTACATTTTCCTAGCATTAGGTTGGCCTTTTGTGTACCCAAGGCAGGTGAAGGAAGTCAACTTAGGAGCGCTGTGATTGGATGTAAGGGTACAATATATTTTTTTATTTATCTATGAATAACTGCAGTGTGTATATTTACAATATAAATTTTGAAACCCATTGAAATATTTTCTAGAGAATTATTCGAAAAGACTTCCAAAATTTCATAAATTTAATGTAAAATGACGGTGGGCATGGATAACATAAACAAGCTCCGTTGGAAGTTGGTCATGATACTATTTGGCTTCAATTTTTAAAACAGAGTAATAAAGTACTAACACCACACATAACTGTTTTGTCCAGGTTTTTATTATAAAAAGGGGTAAATTTAGAAAGCGTTAGTATTGTCGCCTATGGCAGAATAAATAGTACCGTTTTCCCTATACTGAAGATAGCAAGGGAAATCAAAATCAATCAGACTTCAGTTATATTACACTATTTTGAAGCTTTGGATTAATACGTTTGATTTTTATCACCAAGAATAGAAATTTTTCACTGAGACCAATACTGTGTTGAGAAAAGTGCTGAGTCATCATAATAAGTCAAATTGATGGGTACTGATATAAAACTTCATTCTAGGATTTCAATATTAACTATATTGTATAAAATGCACCTAACTCTAGTTCTTTTGTATTTGTTTTCACCTTGCGCAATGATTAATTCAATTGGAAACACCAGAATTCAAGTCGCGACAAATATTTTTAACTGAAATATTTGCCTTTTTTGCTGTGTAATTCCCTAAATGTATCCCTTGGGTATTTCTCAAGACATAATCTATTAAATTGGGAAATTGTCTGGTTAAGTTTGTACTGTTTATGGAGTAAGGCAATATTTGGTCACAATAGAAGCATTTTCAGTATAAAATTTGTCCATCTAAGAAAAAAAGAGGCCCAATTGAGGCTAAATTTAGGTAGATTTTATATTCTCCTGTGTAAAGAATTGATCACATTCTTGGCAATTTTTGCAGCAAATGTTTGAATAGTGCTTCATTTTGTAGTTTCTATCTTTTATTATATCAAGCATATATAGTTTTTCATTTTCAACTGTTTGAAAAGACTTTTGTTGGAAATGAATACTCCCAAGGGACATAATTCAGCTTTTTCATAGACTGATACAGGCAAGAAAGGCAACTTTACAGCTGAGTATTTTGCATATTTAATGTTATAAGTGTCTAATATCTTTGTTTTTATCATCCCAAGACAGAATAATGGATTTTATAACAAGTTCTGAAATTTTGAACCACAATATGGCATATACTAAAGCATGGAATGGAGATTAGTATGAAAAATCTTGAATTTGTGCTTATGTTGTAAATTTTGGATAAATTGAATACAAATTGAATGGAATTGTCATTTTTATCTGTTTGAATGGTACTGTTTATTATTCTTTTTATATAAGATAAGATATGATTGGATACAGGTAGTTTATTAAGCCTTATCTGAAAGAAGTACAGAAAGAGGTAAACCAGCATATAGGGGTGGGGACATGAAATGGTCCATGTTTCTTTAGGTAATGGGGACATACAAGAATTTATTATAGCCAAGGTTTTCACAATAACCCAGTATAGCATTAATGGTGTCATAAGAATTCTTTATATCTTTATGTCACAATATAGGGAAAACGGTACTATTACATTTTCCTAGCATTAGGTTGGCCTTTTGTGTACCCAAGGCAGGTGAAGGAAGTCAACTTAGGAGCGCTGTGATTGGATGTAAGGGTACAATATATTTTTTTATTTATCTATGAATAACTGCAGTGTGTATATTTACAATATAAATTTTGAAACCCATTGAAATATTTTCTAGAGAATTATTCGAAAAGACTTCCAAAATTTCATAAATTTAATGTAAAATGACGGTGGGCATGGATAACATAAACAAGCTCCGTTGGAAGTTGGTCATGATACTATTTGGCTTCAATTTTTAAAACAGAGTAATAAAGTACTAACACCACACATAACTGTTTTGTCCAGGTTTTTATTATAAAAAGGGGTAAATTTAGAAAGCGTTAGTATTGTCGCCTATGGCAGAATAAATAGTACCGTTTTCCCTATACTGAAGATAGCAAGGGAAATCAAAATCAATCAGACTTCAGTTATATTACACTATTTTGAAGCTTTGGATTAATACGTTTGATTTTTATCACCAAGAATAGAAATTTTTCACTGAGACCAATACTGTGTTGAGAAAAGTGCTGAGTCATCATAATAAGTCAAATTGATGGGTACTGATATAAAACTTCATTCTAGGATTTCAATATTAACTATATTGTATAAAATGCACCTAACTCTAGTTCTTTTGTATTTGTTTTCACCTTGCGCAATGATTAATTCAATTGGAAACACCAGAATTCAAGTCGCGACAAATATTTTTAACTGAAATATTTGCCTTTTTTGCTGTGTAATTCCCTAAATGTATCCCTTGGGTATTTCTCAAGACATAATCTATTAAATTGGGAAATTGTCTGGTTAAGTTTGTACTGTTTATGGAGTAAGGCAATATTTGGTCACAATAGAAGCATTTTCAGTATAAAATTTGTCCATCTAAGAAAAAAAGAGGCCCAATTGAGGCTAAATTTAGGTAGATTTTATATTCTCCTGTGTAAAGAATTGATCACATTCTTGGCAATTTTTGCAGCAAATGTTTGAATAGTGCTTCATTTTGTAGTTTCTATCTTTTATTATATCAAGCATATATAGTTTTTCATTTTCAACTGTTTGAAAAGACTTTTGTTGGAAATGAATACTCCCAAGGGACATAATTCAGCTTTTTCATAGACTGATACAGGCAAGAAAGGCAACTTTACAGCTGAGTATTTTGCATATTTAATGTTATAAGTGTCTAATATCTTTGTTTTTATCATCCCAAGACAGAATAATGGATTTTATAACAAGTTCTGAAATTTTGAACCACAATATGGCATATACTAAAGCATGGAATGGAGATTAGTATGAAAAATCTTGAATTTGTGCTTATGTTGTAAATTTTGGATAAATTGAATACAAATTGAATGGAATTGTCATTTTTATCTGTTTGAATGGTACTGTTTATTATTCTTTTTATATAAGATAAGATATGATTGGATACAGGTAGTTTATTAAGCCTTATCTGAAAGAAGTACAGAAAGAGGTAAACCAGCATATAGGGGTGGGGACATGAAATGGTCCATGTTTCTTTAGGTAATGGGGACATACAAGAATTTATTATAGCCAAGGTTTTCACAATAACCCAGTATAGCATTAATGGTGTCATAAGAATTCTTTATATCTTTATGTCACAATATACTGAAGATAGCAAGGGAAATCAAAATCAATCAGACTTCAGTTATATTACACTATTTTGAAGCTTTGGATTAATACGTTTGATTTTTATCACCAAGAATAGAAATTTTTCACTGAGACCAATACTGTGTTGAGAAAAGTGCTGAGTCATCATAATAAGTCAAATTGATGGGTACTGATATAAAACTTCATTCTAGGATTTCAATATTAACTATATTGTATAAAATGCACCTAACTCTAGTTCTTTTGTATTTGTTTTCACCTTGCGCAATGATTAATTCAATTGGAAACACCAGAATTCAAGTCGCGACAAATATTTTTAACTGAAATATTTGCCTTTTTTGCTGTGTAATTCCCTAAATGTATCCCTTGGGTATTTCTCAAGACATAATCTATTAAATTGGGAAATTGTCTGGTTAAGTTTGTACTGTTTATGGAGTAAGGCAATATTTGGTCACAATAGAAGCATTTTCAGTATAAAATTTGTCCATCTAAGAAAAAAAGAGGCCCAATTGAGGCTAAATTTAGGTAGATTTTATATTCTCCTGTGTAAAGAATTGATCACATTCTTGGCAATTTTTGCAGCAAATGTTTGAATAGTGCTTCATTTTGTAGTTTCTATCTTTTATTATATCAAGCATATATAGTTTTTCATTTTCAACTGTTTGAAAAGACTTTTGTTGGAAATGAATACTCCCAAGGGACATAATTCAGCTTTTTCATAGACTGATACAGGCAAGAAAGGCAACTTTACAGCTGAGTATTTTGCATATTTAATGTTATAAGTGTCTAATATCTTTGTTTTTATCATCCCAAGACAGAATAATGGATTTTATAACAAGTTCTGAAATTTTGAACCACAATATGGCATATACTAAAGCATGGAATGGAGATTAGTATGAAAAATCTTGAATTTGTGCTTATGTTGTAAATTTTGGATAAATTGAATACAAATTGAATGGAATTGTCATTTTTATCTGTTTGAATGGTACTGTTTATTATTCTTTTTATATAAGATAAGATATGATTGGATACAGGTAGTTTATTAAGCCTTATCTGAAAGAAGTACAGAAAGAGGTAAACCAGCATATAGGGGTGGGGACATGAAATGGTCCATGTTTCTTTAGGTAATGGGGACATACAAGAATTTATTATAGCCAAGGTTTTCACAATAACCCAGTATAGCATTAATGGTGTCATAAGAATTCTTTATATCTTTATGTCACAATATAGGGAAAACGGTACTATTACATTTTCCTAGCATTAGGTTGGCCTTTTGTGTACCCAAGGCAGGTGAAGGAAGTCAACTTAGGAGCGCTGTGATTGGATGTAAGGGTACAATATATTTTTTTATTTATCTATGAATAACTGCAGTGTGTATATTTACAATATAAATTTTGAAACCCATTGAAATATTTTCTAGAGAATTATTCGAAAAGACTTCCAAAATTTCATAAATTTAATGTAAAATGACGGTGGGCATGGATAACATAAACAAGCTCCGTTGGAAGTTGGTCATGATACTATTTGGCTTCAATTTTTAAAACAGAGTAATAAAGTACTAACACCACACATAACTGTTTTGTCCAGGTTTTTATTATAAAAAGGGGTAAATTTAGAAAGCGTTAGTATTGTCGCCTATGGCAGAATAAATAGTACCGTTTTCCCTGAATGGTTAATTATATTCTGCCATCAAAATTGATCCATTACAAGTTTATTTTAGTTTGATATACAAATTCTAATTTAAATCAAGAGACGTGGAGTAAAACCTCAATGAGATACCAACCTTGCGCCTTTCAAGTTTTGAAAAGTAGATTAACAAAACATATACACAGAAGAAGATGCAATAAACATCAATACCGGAATGGGACTTAACTCTTAAATTACGATCTTATAACCTTGATAATAAATAACAAATACACAAGTATCAACAAAACACTAAAAAGCTCGAAGTTACTTAAAGCCCACTCAAAGTAATTAACCTACCGATATGATGGATTGATTGATGTTTGCTTGAAACGTCCATTGGAAAACATTTTATGCCTTTTCAGGACGAGAAAAATTATCAATCAATACAATTGGTCCTGTAATCGAGACTGTCTGGGCGGGACTGCCACTGAAAAATGAGGATATATATTGGATAGGGCAGAAATTCAATAGGCCACCTACGGACCCCTCAAAGAGTTGTTACAAGGGTTCTTAATGTGCAGAGAGCGTGGCACTCTTCCATTCTGATTGGACGTGGCTGCATACTTATACATCCCGTGACCTTCTGCAACGAACGTTTTCTGACCTAATATCCATCACAAGTGTCAGCCGAAACTCCCAACGTGATCTCGTTCTGCAAATTCAAGAAACATTTGCCATTGTATGTTATTGAAACAATCAATCAACACACTAGTAGATTTAGCCATCAAAGGAGCAAATTAATCATTGTTAATGAAGCAGTCAAATATTAATTATTTTGGAAGTACAATACTAAAATAGATATTGTATGGCAATCATAACAATGTTATTATGCATTTCAAGTGTTATTGAACTTACTGAGTTCATACATGCAGTTGTCACATGAACTTTTTTTAACACACCATGTTACATGTACACCGGTATCATAGATTTTTAATTCGTATTCATCGTTATTGTACATGTTTTATATCATATACAAGCAATACTGTACGTATAGACAAAAAGATAACCAGCCTCGTAATCAATACAATAACACAACTTATCAAATATTATTTTGAAACGTAAATACATTTGTAAATAGTTACTAATTTAAATTTACCTTATTTCCTTATGTTTATATATATGTCCTTCAAAATAACAACTAATGAAATATTATCTCCCTTGAAATAATATTACTTAAACATGGTCATACATATATTGATTTTGTTTATATTTAGTACAGGTAAATTTCCACTATAAGTTCAGCGACCATTTCAAGGCTTAAACTAACTAATATATATGTTATATGACACGTAGTTTTGTAATTTTCAGTCTTGCACACTTTACATACAACAATTACAATACTTTCTAAGCACAAATTACACCCATAAGAGGGTCAAAGGCATAATTACATGTAATAACAACAATATAATGATGACATTACATTTAAATAAAAATAAAACAAAACATTAAACACAACAAATGACCTCAAGTGCCCCCTGTCCTCAGTTCCATAGACTGTTTAATAAAGGAGCCTGAAGATTTCACTTGCTGACTAGTGGTTGGATTTAGGATTACAGAAATTTTCAACAGGGGCGTATCCAGGGGAAAAGGAGGGTTGGGCGTAATTCAAGAAAACATTATAGAAACTAAAATTAAATTTATTAGACGATTTTATGCTAAAAAATCATATAAATCGTGAGAAATATGATATATATTTTTTGGCGATCAAGGGAAGTCTTACACCCTTTACGCCCTATCCTGTATCCGCCACTGTTCAATTCATATATTTATTGATGGTAAAAAATATAAAATGAACAATAAAAATAAAATTCAGATTAAAAATAAACTTACTGTTTAGTTTCACATATTATGCGTATAACTGAAGCACCACGTAATATTTACACAGGAAAATGTATATCATATCAAGTATCAAAAACTCTTTACTGCGAGTGCCAATACGTTAATCACCATCTACTTAATTTGTTCGACACACGTACGTATATCTTCTGTAGTTGAAATACGTGCAGAATTGTAATATCAAGGTCGTACAAATCATACAGGCATGAAATTATTTCACATATATATTTTCAGTATCGTTTTAGCACCCGGAGTTGATGCGCTCCGGTAACCGACTCCCATGTGAAATATATATGAGTGCAAAGTAGTGATGCCATGGGTAAATTTAAGTCAATATTGAAAAAAATTCAAATAAAAGTTATTTGTAATGTTATGTTTATTAGTTTTGTTAATATATATTTTATATAGATTTAAGCAAGTTAGATTGATAGTGTTTAAAAGTCTGTTTCATTTTTCTGAAAAGGATTTGTAAAATGAACAAAACAAATCAACAGAAACAAAAAAAAAAGGTTAGTTTTCTTTTATAGTTGATTTAATTGTTATATGTTCTTATATATTTGTCTGATTTAATGAAAATATAGTGCACGTAACGTTGGCGAACAGTTGTTTAGATTTCGATCTTTCCTGCCTTGAAGAAAATAAGTTGAGGTGCAGCAGATTGCAGTTTACACTAACAGTTATTGTTAGACTGTAAGAAAAGAACAAGAGCACATAAAGCAAGGGGGGATAAATTGAAATATTATAGAAAATTCAATAAAAGATCTTAAAAAAGGAAAAAGAAAAAAAAAAACATTCGCCATGCCCATTTTAAAAAAAAACTGCTAATCATGTTCACATACACAGATTTTTCTTACTCACGGATAGCCAACTCGTAGTCAATCGCAAGCATCCGTAAATAAATCACTGGTATCCGTAAATAACTCACAGACATACACTCTTAAGGATCCGTGAAAGGAGAGGCAAATTTTTTGACATGTCAAAAATCTTCTTATGATTGTCCACGGATTGATTTTCATGTAAATAACTCATAACAACTCGTAGGTACCGTAAACCGCTCGCAACAGCACGTAACCATCCGTAAACTGCTCGCAAGAACACGTAAAAGACTCGTAACAATTGTTTTAAAAGATGTGTTACGGTTAGTTTACGATTTGTTTTCTGATTATTTTACGAATTATTACAAGTGCTTGCACGTTGTTTAAGATTTCATTTAGGTCAAGTAACGATGGCTTTACGGATTGTTACGATTTATTAAGAGCACTTTACGTGTAAGTACAAATAGTTTACGAATATATATGTATACTTTAAGTATTATTACGTATTGTTTACGATTATTGGGAAGGTATAAAAGCTGAAAAATCGAACATTTCATTTTCAGTTGTTATTTAGAAGCCGTTTAAGTCACATCTCTGCATATCTACTCTACAATATCCACAAGCATGGCTCCAAAGAAGTAGGCAGTCAACAAGCAATCTCCTGCCCTTCGAAAATCGCTCTTGATGTCATTTGTCGTATGATGATACATTGAGATTTGCAGGATTATATATATAAATTGTAAGGACTCGTAAATACTCGTATCTTACTCGTAACTTTTCGTTACAACACGTTAACAGATCGTAGGAAACACGTAAAAGCTTCGATGAATAGTGACATTCCGTAATATATTCGTAACAATCTTTAAAAAGCTCGTAAAATGCCCGTAAGTTTCACGTAGTTATCCGTGACTAGTCGTAACAAATCGTTTGAACTTTGTCGTAAGTACATAGTAATTACTCGTAATAAACCGTTAATGGCCCGTAATAACTCGTAGCAACTCTTAAATCGGTCGTAAATGTGGCCAAATCGAAAGCACTCGTGAATTTGTGCGATCCGTAAGGACTCGTATGAAAAATCGTGCGTATTTGAAGGGGGCAAAAAGCGCATATACATGTACATAATACTTATCGAGAATATTGAATACAAGAGACGTGCATTTTGTACACATACCAAAGGGAAACGTCGTTCACAGCAATTATATTTCTTATTTTATTCTATTTAATAGAAAATGGGAATTTTGTGTCAAATCAAGCCAAGATTTTACAGAAAATCCACAGACTGTATTACAAAGATTTTCGTTATAGCATTTTTAACATAGCTTGTTTATCCATGTTGTGCTAGTATTTAATATTTACAAAAAGTCATAAACAACCTTTACAATCCCCCCAAAAAACTCGTACTGAGTCACTAAAGTCGTGTGCACCCTAGAAGGTGTGCTTCAATAGGCCAATAGGTCGATATTTGTACTATCTTTATTTAAAGATTTGTTATATATATAGGTAAATCATTGCTAGTACTGCGTGCAGTTAGTATCTATCAGGTACCCAAATGTCAAATATAAGAGTACATTTGGAAAGGGTGTGGTTTTTCTATACACTGTCCATATGTTTATCATTGAAACAACAAAAGAGTACTAGTACATAATCCTTAAAATCTATTTTAAAACAGTGTTTTAAATTAAATCTGTTTTTTTTATATACAGACATAATATTTCAAAAGAAATTTTTAGGACCTTAGATGCCTTCAAAAGTTTGATTAATTTCTGAAATCAGCACCATGTATATCTGGTTCACTCTGCTACATAAAATGTCAACACAACATTAAGAAATATGATCTAAAGTAATTTTTTTTGAAGCTTTTAAAATGTCTTTTACAAGGAAGTTGTCGTGGAATCAATTCTGGTTATCAGTACAAATAAAATGTTATCAGCAAATATAGCTAGCTTTCAATAACTCGTACCTTATCACCTTAAATGATATCTCTCAGATGTTGTCTGGTTTTAATTTATCTGTTATGTCCTTGATTAAAAATAATTTACAAACTATTGATATTTTGTTAAGTACTTTCTCAGAGTAAACAAATTCTACAATATTCTGACTGTCCTCGCATTCATGTTTTCTCATTATGTATCACCATGCTAGTATTAAAGCTGAAGGTTATTTATCGCTACTCAAAAGATTTTAAAACGGCATTTTATATAACTTCGGTGATAAAAAAAAAGTATAACGAAATATTTTTTCTTTTTTACTTGGTGTCAGATACAGGGCTATAATGTGAAACAGAGAGACAGATAAATATTTGGCTGATAACAACATGCCGAGTCTTATCAAAAAGACAAGTTAAGGATATGCATATATTCCTAGATATATACTAATACATCACCCAATTTGATATCCCATCGTGTCATAAAAGTTCATGTCAGGAGAGACGTAGGTCACGATCGGTAAAATCGACTCAAAAACCTAACCTGTTATAATAATAATAATAAAAGAAAATAATAATAATTAATAATTATATATACTTGTAGGTATTTTATCTTTATCGTATATTTAGAGGTTAGGTTCTTCCCTGTACTTATTATCACTGTATGTTCTTTACGTAACTTTTAAAGTGCACGATCTAGTTTTATAAAGGAGTCGGAATTGAGATATCAAAACACTTAGTTGAGCCCGCTAAAAATGCATATGCTGGTTCAAAGACTGGAATCTTGTCAGTTGAAAATAACTTTATGAATTTCGGGCGTCCGAGGAGCTTTTCTGGATTTACCTTCATCAGGAACGGTCAAACCCAAACATTTCGAAAGGCTATAATGTATAAAAATACATTAATACGTGGGGACTTATATGACCAAAGAGCACATAAAAAGAAGAAGCCAAATTCATCGAAAGTCAACATCGCCTGAGTGAGTTGGAACCTTAGTTTCTTAATAACTTCTTGAATCATTAATGAATAATTTATAAGAATAGAACAGAACAATTGTATATCTAAAATAAGATGAAAGAGCAATCATTATGGCGTTTTTTTACAAAGAAAAACTCATTATTTAAACTAATTCACAACGAATATTTCAAATTTGTAGTAATCTTTTCGGGTGGATTTACGAACTCCTTGCACATGGCTTGGTTTACTGTTATGTTATTTAGGCGTCACAATGACAACAGATTTGACCTTCTTTAACAGTTATTATGTCATTGTTGTTGCCTTTAGCGAATGCAACTTATCACCGGATTCTTACTTGTTACAAACAGCACGACGGGTACCACGAGTGGAACAGAGACAGCATGACCTCCCGGAACACCTAAATTCATGCAAACTCGAATTGTCAATTTCCAGTAGATTACGCGATTATTTCCATCTCACTTTGGTCTTGTTATTTCATCTTTGGATTAGTGGATGAGTTTTTTTCCCAATTATTATTATAAAGATTATTTTACCACATAAGGAAAAAAGTTATGATTTTATTAATGTCACATCGACAGTTTAAGACAATAATTTATAAAGAGGGAATGCCACGAACCATCAAGCTTCCTCAATAGAATTGATTGGAACTACATCCTATGAAAATTACATTCTTACTCCAGTTGTGGGTCAAATAAAACAATGCTAATATATCAGACCATTTTGTTTTGCAATATTGTACTGCGTTCCCATGGTAACCAATAGAAAAGAATGGGGAGTTTGAAATTTGGTGAAATGTAAGTTTTCTCAATTCCATGATGTTGCATTAGGAAAAGTGTACAAAAAAACCAATAGAAATACAACAGTTTGCCTCAATTTGATTCGTTTTCCCATATTTTGTTTTGATTGATTAGCGTATACCAAATGCTTTACTAACGAATTTTATATCCTCCATTTCCCCCCAATTTCAATGTTTTTTTCCTTCAATCTGTAACAAAAGAATTGATTAAATTGTATATATCCAGGGAGTACACCTAAACAATATAAATGGTAACATTGAGAAGTTTTCAAACAGAGGCCAAGGTAACAGTGAGACCTTGCATGAACTTTCTCACGTTTCGTGACATTCCCTCCTAATTACTTATTTTTTTTAAATTTCGAGCTCAGTAAATGCTTTTAAACTCATAATAAACAAACTAAATATCAGTCTGCTTTAAAGAGCGATGTTAATGTTTTTATTCTTTTATAGTAGTTTTTTTTTTGGTAAAAATTATCAAATAAATGTATTTCCCTTTGTTCTTTGTGTGGACAGTTCGACTTACAAACACGCTCAGATACAGTTGAAATTAGTTTTTTTTATATAGCATGATTTTCTCAAAGAATCTTTTGCTTTGTGGTTGCTCTTTGTTATTCATTTGCCTTTCTCTTTCTATTGATACTTCATGTTT